GTTACAGAGTCATCCATGAGTTAAATGAGGGAAAGTGGGAGCTTTCAGCACTCCATGCAGACCATTACATAGGTGATTCAAAGGAGGGGCAGAAAGAAGGAGACTGATATATTCCGGTTCAAGCTATTAAAGGTTTCATTGTTTTGACTTTGGGAGTCTGCTTCTGGGTGGGCATAGAAATCCCCCTCCCTGTTATAACACATACCAAAGCTTTGAAGCGGTACAAAACCCTTCCCAGGGGATAACAGGGAAGGTGAGAAGGATCAGAATACATTTTTCAAGTTATTTTTTATGACTACACTTACACTTCTCTGCATTCATTGAAGGAAACATCTGGAATGGGATTAATTATATTAGAGTGCTATATTGCAAGGCCAAGCTTTAATAAAAGTGATGAGGTGTTTGAGTAGGCTAGATAATTTTCTAGGGTAAGTAAGGCCATAAATATGAAGCATTTTGTAGTACTGACTCTGATTAGTTTTTTAATCTCATTGTCATTATTTGTTAACCAAATTGAAAGAGCACATGACAGGTTAACTTGAGAACTGTGCTACTACCATAATACGTTGTTCATTCTGTGGAATGAATGGTCTTGTGGCTTGTTAGCTTTTTAACAAATGATTTTGGAATAGTAATTAATTCTGCCTGTGTTTCACTGATTGGCTTACAAATTTGTACCATGATCACACCATTGAAGCTCCCTCACTCCCTCTCTCTCTCTCTCTCCCCCTGTTCAGCAGAATGGGATCACTCATTGCATGGCCAACTTACCATGGCCAACTCGCTGTGAGACAACTCACTGAAGGACAATTCAACAAAATACAAAAGTTAAATTAATTTCAATGGAACCATGCCAATAATAACAATAACAACAACAACAGCAGCAACAACAACAACAATAATAATAATAAGCAATCCAGAAATAAAAGAGTTAAAATAATCTTGATGAAAACATGGTCACCAATAATAAAAATAACTGAATGAAACAATTAATACAGCATTGAATTGTCCTGCCATGAGTTGTCCTGTGGTAAATTGGCCGTGCTAAATGTCCTGTGGCACATTGGCCATAGTGAGTTGTCCTAGACCCCTCTCCAGCTATAAGAGTAAATGAAATAATCCAATGTATTGTTTCCCCTTAAAACATTCTCAAAACCACTAGGAAGGTTATTGAAGCAATTAATCATTTTTAGCTCTCATTTGCAGAGAAATTCGAGATTCAGTTTGACTTTTAAATAGTATACCTCATGACAAATCATGTCATTTCTAGTATGTTGCAATAGATTCTACAAAGTTTTGGTATTTGAACTCATGCTGAGAGAATATATGAAAATTAGCATTTATTTGACTAAACTCAGGAAATCAGAGATAAGAAGTATTCTTCTGCAGAAGCCTAATTTTGGCTTTTTCCAAAAAGCCTGGCCTTCAATTATCCTACACATTCCATGCTAAACATTATTCCAAGGAAAAGGAGAGTGAGGTGAGGAGGACTGAAAAAGGAGCACCTGCCTATCAACATCCAAGTAGAAAACTAGACAATCTAATGTCAGTTGTACTCCTTGCCATAATCCCTGAACGTTTGCTGAAATCCAAGATCTTATTCAAGGAGATAATAAGTAATTTGTTTAGCTAAGACCATTATATTAACTTTATTTGGAATTCTATATGTGTGCATTGGTTGCCTTGGCTTGTTTTCTCTCTGTTTTTCTTTCCCCCCAAAACTCTAGAGATTTGGATTCACTTGTTTCTCCATGCACAAGAACTGAATGGTTACACAGCTATCTGCCTGTGGTTTAGGAATAGTATGTTTTGCTATATTCCATAATTCAGGGCTTTGGCAGAAAGCTGTACAGCATCTTCCTTTCTATTTGTCTTACAGCTGGACTAAAGAGAAATATTAGTGAAAGGGCAAAAAAAAGAGGCCTACCTGGGGAGATGAGAATGTGTTAAGAGATTCAACCTCAGTGATGAAGACTGTATTTTGAGTATCTTTTAATGGGAAACCTTTAAGAAGGAATCTGTCAAAGCACTTTAAAACTTTTCCCTCCTGGGTCCTTAACAGGGTACTAGGGACCTCAGTTTTCTTGTGGGTGCCAGTATTCACATCCATACTTTTCTTGGTGCCTGTCAGACACCTTGTATATTTAAATTAATTTTATTCATTTTCACTTTTTAAATTTTCAGTTAAAAATTCAGAAATTAGAATGTAGGAAAGCATCATCGTCAAACATAATTGGTACTTCAAAATGCCTCTGTGCCTGATTTAGGTCTCAGAAATATTTTTAGAATTTAAAATGGCAGGGATCGAAAGCTCCTCTTTCAAATGTATCTATCTTCTCATAAAAAAACAACAAGAAGAAGATGAATTAGAGGAGAGTATCCTGTGAGATTAGAAATGATGTTGGAAATGATATTCTACCAATTTAGCTTCTGATAATTGGATTATTTTCCTCAGTGATTTGTATCAGATCTGTGATTTTATGATGATAAAAGTAATGTACTTTCAAAATTCCAGATGTATCAGCAAAAATTGTGAATTCCCAGTTTATAGTATGGCCCTTTTCTTCTAGAAGATCAGGAATAGAATGTTAAAATGTTTTTGAGAGATAAGGAAATGTGCCATTGAGGACTTGGGGAAGTTTAATTGAAACCCATTTCTTCTATATACTTTTTCTCCATTCTGATTCTCCATTTATAAATAATGTGACTGAAGGATCAAATTGTACCATATTGTTTTTAGTCTTTCTACTTAATATTTCGTGTTAGCACTTAGATTAAGTCTATTTAAAATAATGAAAGGATTATGAGATTATGCTTTCCTTCTCTGAATACTCTCAAATTCAGACTTCAATATTGGTGTACAAATATAATGAAAACTTGATATTTATTTCTTTTACTCTGCTTTTCTATATATGAGATTACTAGAGCCAACCAAAATATCTAACTGTCTTACTATTGGGAAAGAAACTTTCATTAATTATTTCTGAATATAAAAATCTAGGAGGAGGAGCTGCCTTTTACTAACTTCTTAACTTACATTAAACTGAAAAAAAGTCTATAAAGATGAAATAGATATTTGGAAACCTAGGAGAACATCTAAGTAAATCCAATTCTTCATTTTATACAATTTTCTCTGCACAATTTGTACTATGAGCTGCCCAACCTGGCACAGCTTGCTGAGAGATATATCCCAGATTGGAATGGGACAATACGCTGTGGCCAATGTGTTGCGGTCAATTCACCATGGTCAGATCACCAGGGCCAATTCACGGTGGACAGCTCATCACGGCCAACTCCTCATGGGATAACTTGCCACTCACTGTGGGACAACTCGCTGCAGAGCAGTTTAACAATTCAATTTAATTATTTAAAATAAATGTTTTTTTTATTTTTGTCATTCACATTTCATTTTGTCCCTGTTTTTGCATCCCTTCTTTAATGATTCTATTCCACCATTTCTTTGATATTAGTGTAACTCTTGTCCTGTATTGAGTTGTCCCGTTGCGAGTTGGCCGTGTCGAGTTGTCCCGCAGAGAGTTAGCCACAGTGAATGGTCATAGATCCATCCCAGATAACTGACCTTCTTAAAACAATTCGTTTCTCTGATCCTATTACAAAGGAGGGATAGTGGAAAGGTTGACATTATGAAATCTATTACTGATAAGCAATAGAGGAGAGCCCCTATGTCCAGTTTGTAATGAGAATGCGAAACCTTTGCCGTGGCTGTACTACACTGGTAGCGAAATGACTACAGATTGGGATTGGGGGTGAAGGGAGAGAGATTGTAAGGCTAGGAATGATAGTGAATTGCCTCCTAGAACTTTTCTGCTTCATTTTCACTCTTAACACATATATTAGAGACATCTCTTTTGATCCATTTCCTTGTACCCTTTCCAGAAGTATGTGTGACCAGTTGTATCTTAGTTTTTTTTTAAACTATTATTAAAAAAAACAAATAAGTTAAAGATTGAAACAACTGTGTGATGAACTGGCTAAACCTTTCACATCACAGGCTTAATTTTTGTATTTCCTTTTTCCTTGCTTATGGACAATTTGTTTTCTTATTTATTTTTGTATTTATTCTTGCTACTTAATCTTTTCTGAGAATTCTCCCGTTTCACTTGATAATATACATAGAGTTTAGATTTAACTTACATTTTGAAAGGGTGTGCACTGCAAAGTAGTCATTTCTGACATGTGGTGGCTTGGTAATACAGACATAAATTTTGTTTGTGTGGTCTGATTACTTCATTTTTCCCGCTTAGTTGGAATGATGTCTGTTAATCCATGGCAACAGCTGCCAAGATATTGTCTAAGAAGTAAAATCTAATGGCTGTTTTCGTTTGAATAAAGCTTGAGTGACCTGAGTATTCCTGTTGAAAAAATAGACACTTTCAAATATTTATTTTCTTTGGAAAAGAATAAACTTCCATTTTATTATTTTTCCTCTAGAAAATATTTTGATATACAGTACTAGGAGGTTCCTTAATTGTATTTAGTGAAGTTTCTAGTATAATTTGTTTAATATGTATAGTGAGAAAATTGGGTCTTATATCTGTCATGGAAACAGGACAAATGTACTGCACGTTCATGTACAACAAAAGCACTTTTAAAACACAAAAACTCTATTTGAGTAAAGTAACAAGACTTTTTAGAGCAAATGTATATATACACTTATGTGCAGAAACATCGCCTAAATGTAAACCAGTGCCTGTATCAACATAAGTAAAGTTTTAAAAACATTATTAATGATCCACAAAGAGGGGATCCACAAAGAGGTAAGAATCAATTAAAAAAAATACTTATCAGGGTGTTGACTTCAAACCATGAGACAAATTAGAAATTCAATTAGAGTTGAAGTAATAACAGTTGCAACTCTTGAAAGTCAGCAAACCTTGTCATATTGTTCATAGGGTAAAATGCTCATATAAATCCATGTTTTAGCCTTGTTTAGAAATGCTGTTATGCTATCATTTGATACATTTTATGCTTTGTTTCAGAGCTTTATGGTTTTGATGTTCTCATTGATTCTACTCTGAAGCCTTGGCTGCTAGAGGTGAATCTGTCCCCTTCCCTGGCCTGGTAAGGGAACTGCTGCAGAAGATAGGATGAAATGATTATTCCCTAAGTAATTTTCTTCTGAAATTGCTTCCTTTGTGGGCAGTAAATATTCTTGATGTTTTTTAAGCGGATCTCTATTTGAATGAAGAGCAGTACCAATTTGCAAACTGACTATACTGTTGATTTTTTTTAATTTCTCAAGTTGAGGGATATAATTTATGGATGTAATTTAGCCTGTAATACCCACTCCCTTGCTTTATGCATCAGACATAGAAGGGAGTTTATGTTTGCAAGGAGGAATGTCTTTAAATTTTGTTTTTGGTCTCTGAACTACAGGTTATAAGGAGATACTATCATACCTTTTAGAGATGTACAAAATTTTCTGAATTTAAAATGTCCAGGATTGAGGTTGAAATGGTTGTTCTGACCTTATCAGAAACATTCTTGGGTTGGGGCTTCCGGTTTGAGCTTCTTCAGCAACAGACCGAAACCTCGTCTCTGCGAGGCTTCGATCTGTGCTCGCCTCTGGAGCACCCCGAGCCAGCTGGCTTCAGGGCTAAGCCACCCCATAGAAGTGGTGAAGAGGGGGGAGACTGCCTGCAGGGTTGAGGAGAGCCGCATCTCTTCCCCAGCTGTCCATTACTCCCTTTCCCAAAGGTGATTGCAGCAGTGGTCAGAAATGGCCACCACAAAGAAGAACTCGACCAGAAAAGAATGTGCAGGAGGAAGATAAGAGGAGAAAGTTTTGGTTGACCGGGTCAAACAGCAAAAGCAACAAATAAGGTGCCCTGGAATTGAAACTATTAAAGAACAATAACGTTGTTCCCTAAAAAGATTTTTAAGCTGCGAAGGAGAGAGAAAAGGGAAAAGATTTTGTTTTTTTTTCTCCTTTTCCTATACTGACAGCTAAGAGACTTAAGTAAGAAATTGGAAAAAAATCCACTTTGACATCAATAGGCATTTAATGCTGAAAATAAAAAGTCAAAAGGATAATAAAGATTTCTGGATAATTAAAAGCTTTTGAAAACAGGAAAGGAGAGAGGAAGAATAAAAGGGCAGGATCTGGAAGGGAGGAGACTGCCTGGAATTAAAAAAGAACTTATAGCAAAATCTCAACATGACTTCCAAAAGATACATTCTAACTGAAATATTGCAACAAAAACCGCAGGAAGAGAAAGTCAAAAAAGAAATAAGAAGATATAACTCGGGACTATCTGGATTACTTGATGATTTCTGGATTCTTGGTTATTGTTTTGAATGACTGAAATCAATCGGGTGGTTGTTTAAAACTGTTTAAAATGGCTCCACTTTTAGAAGAACTGAAAATGGAACTTAAAAAGTACAAAGAAGAAGCACAAGAAGGGAGAGGTTCTTTTGGCTTCGTATTTCAGTTTTTAGAAATAGAGATTTGGAATTATGAGAAACAACAAGAAATGCCTGCAGAACAAGAAGATTGCGACAAAGAAGAAGCCATCTTTAATGAACAAGTAATCTTAGATGGGGGAAAAAAGGAAAGGGGGGAAAGAGAATGGAAAAGTTAAGATTGGGAAAAACAACTCCCCCCCCCCAAAAAAATAGAGTGAAAAGTAAGTATAAAATCAGAAAGCAACAAAAGAGGGAAATGCAGAAGAGAGAATTAGAAGTAGAGAGACAAGGGGGTAAAAAGGGGAGGGAGAAGATGAGAGGGAAGAAAGAAAGGAAAAGAAGTCATAAAAGACAGAAACAAAATACAGAGAAACAGGGCCTATTTAGAGATAATGGGTGAAAATTTAATGGAAAAAGGGATTCTGCAAAGGTACATAAGATAGTATGGTTATATTAGAAACAGAAATAATTTTAGAAAATATGAAACAATGTACGATTAAAATGTCTGATAAAAATAACTATCATAATTCAGTGGAATGCTTGTCAATAAATAAATGGAATAAAAAGTATATTTAATGATTTATAAAACTTATGTGAAGAGAAATAAGGGAAAAATTAATTATGGAGATTATATGTGTTTTTAAGAAAGTATGATATTTAATTGAAAAGAGGTGTTAAAGATGTTAAGATTTTAATGATTATTAATGGTAGAACTGAACTGGAACGGAATGAGGGTTTATAATTACATATATTTACAATCTTTTTTTTTTTAAGAATATAGTGTGTATTATAAGAATGTACCAAGCAGAATTCGATTGGAAGTTACGTATTATGTATTATATTGAAGGTCATAACCTTAAGGTATATATTGAAGTTTAAGAGTTGAATGGATGTAATTAAAAGATATAAAGGTGTCATACTCCACTTAGTAACTACAGGAGAAAACTTGTTTAATGAGAAAAGATAATATGAAATTGAAACAGAACAGACAAAAGTATAAATATAATGATTTGAATTGAGATGAGATAATCAAATTAAAATCGAGAAAATCAAAAGAGGGGAAAAACTATATAGAAAATGTAAAATAGTATAAGATATGGAATAGAATACAAAAAGGAGCATGAAATTGAGTTTTGTGTCTGTATAAAGAAGTTCAACCCGGGACCATGCTATTTTCAAAAAAGAAGCTTTATTTGTATTTTGTATGTGTGAAAACCCAAATAAAACTTTATTTAAAAAAAGAAAGAAACATTCTTAGGTTGAAACAGGGCTGGGTTTTTTTCTCTGAATACTACTAGCATGTCTGGGAGAATATGTTTTGATGTGAAACAGCTGCTTCAAATTCAAAGTGTTGCGTACACTTCTATTACCTGCCATACCTCCTTTTGGCTAAAATAGTAAGAGGCAGGATTGAACTGAAATAGTTGGGTAGGTAGAGGTCAGTGTTTAAGGATAACTACAGTGTTCGTATTACTTTGGCCCTTTCTCAATAATCCATCTGTTGATTGTGGGTGAGTGGGGAGGCAGGCTTGGATAAGATTATTTTCCTACCATCTCTGGTTGGAAAACAACACTGAGTGTTGTTTCATTCAAATGAGGAAGCAAAAAAAAAATGATTTTTTTAAAGGAGGAAAGGGAGTAGATTCACAACAACAAATAGTATCCTGTCGTAAATGTTATTTCTTTTTCTATTTTGTTAACTTAGAAAAGTGAAGTTTGTTTTTTTCTAGGAGGGAAAAGGCAGCATTCAATAAAATCTTTTATCTGAGGTCATTAATGTTTAATTTCTTTGTGAATGGAGGTTTATAAGGTATAAATCTCAATTGGATCTATGACTTTATTTGGTCCTGGGTGTAGTGAGTGTTAAAAATTCACTTTTCACCTATATGTTTTTTTTAGTGATGAATCTATTTTTGGTTGTCTCAATATTCAAGAACAAGTGAATGAAACTATTTTCATTTATGGTGGACTTGTCCTGAGATAAAGAAATATTGGTTAAAAATAAAATTGTGGATAGAAGAAATCATAGTGTGGGCTGGAGTGGAAACAGGAATTGTTTTTGTTGGGAATGATCAAAGGGGATTACCCCTCTAAAGTAAAATATCTGACCATCCATTTATTAACTGCAGCATGTATTTCACTAGCATAATATTGGAAGAACCCAAATGTACCACTGATACATGTTGCTATTTAGAAAACTTATGAGTGTGCCCAATTGGAGAGGCTGACGCTTAAAATCAGTGGGAAGGTGGATACAGATTACTACCGGATATGGGATAAATGGTATAAGTGGGTAGATAATAAAAGGGGAAACACGTAAATGAACCCAAGATACAGTTTATATTCAGCTGTTCATACCAAATGTATAAAAACAATTAAAGGTTTTAAACCTTCTTTTCTCTGTTACTATTATTATTATTATTAGTCATTTATTATATTTCTTTGTTTACTAGTTAAATAGTATGAATGTATTCGTAATTGAAGAGTAGTTATAAACCAATGTGAAAATAAATAGAGTATATTGTGAATTATTTAGTGCTTAGGATGTGATAATGAAGATGTGATTAATACTAGTCAATATTTATTAGGACTTATCAAATTTGATAACAAATTTAAAGAATTATGTGTTATTCACATATTATTGTTTCTGTATTTTTGAATTTGTATGTTTTTAATTTTGTAAATAAAATTGTTTTTAAAATTTAAAGAAAAAAAAAGAAACTGGAAAGATCCAAAGTATTGAAAAATATACCCTGGATCTTGGAGGAACTCACAGAAAATTGTTCAGAGAGCACTGTTGTTCTTATCACAGATATTATAAGAGGTATTTCCAGTTTGGAAATGCTGATTTTCAGTCTAGTAGAACAGAATTCCCCAATCTTTTTGGCTTTGTCGACCAGCAGAGGGAGGGAGGGAGGGAGGAGAGGGAGTAGTTCTGCATGAACAGTGGGCATGCACACCTGCTGTTTGCGCAAACAGAGCACACACTCATGTGCTCACCCACCATTTCTCTGGTCCAGTTCTGAATGGCTCAAGGCCTGGAGGTGGGCTGCGGCATATTAGATACTGTACAGGAACACTAGATAAGGGAGAATCTAACATTTCTTTAACCTCTGCCTAGAATGTCAAGGGAGAAGGATTTTCATAAAGTTGTGTGTATTATTGTTGTTGTTGTTATTGTTATATCATATTATCTGCTTAAATAAATGGAAAAATCTGCTTAAATAGAGGCCAAATCTCTGTTTTGGTGGTTTCAGGGATGGGACTTTCCATTCTTGGAATGATAGGCCTTGTACATATCGATTAAACTTTCCTCAAAGATGCAGATTAAAGTGATTAATCAGGTGATCTTATTTGTTCTCTTGTTCCATACTGTTAGTGATGCTCCTTTGGATCTGAAAATTAAAGCTAGCATGCTTTCAGATATGTTCACACTTGTAGGTGAGTGTTACATCAATTCTTGTTTAATATTATATTGCATTGTGTGACAATGTGTTAAAAGTCAATATATTGCATAGTCCAGAGCTGATTTGACATAATTATTGGTTTATATTATGTTCCATATGTGTCAGATTAGCTCTATTTACATATATTTAACTATTGTGTTATGCAAGTACATAGTTAAGGTACTTAAGATTTCATTTTAGCTCCAATAAGCTGGAGTTTGTTTGGGGCTAAACTGATCTTTCCCTACCAACGTAAGTTTTACTTAATGTATAGTAGGAACAAAGTAGTCACTTTATAGTTTCCCTTCCAGGCTCTAAGACAAAGTACTGGACAGGCTATGTTAAAATCTGTGGGAATCTGGTAAATTCTTTGTAGTAGTATTGGGAATCATTTTGAAAAGTAAAATAAAATAATTAGTGACAGGCACATGTGGTATTTGTGCAAAGTATGGCAGCACTAAGTTCTGTAGCATGAAAAATCATAGAATAAATGGTATGATACCTGTGTTTCTCTATATATTTAAGACTGACATTTACATAATGTTTTGGATATGTGGCAGGGGGGATAATTTTACTGTCTTCTTCCTACTAGCAATTTCCTGCACATGCAGGGTTTGCTTTTTTTCTGGATTAACCAAGTTTTGAACATTACAGTAATAACATTACAAAACATAATTTACCATGATTGCTGTTAAAATATCTGTAAAATGGGAACTAAATCTCAACAAAGATATATTTTGGAGCAGCACCCAAGCTTCAGAAATATCAGTCCCTCAAATCTACATAGATATGCATTCTCATGTCAGTCACATTTGTTTCTCATGTCAATGACATCTAGTTTCTCTCTTTTGTATTTCACAGCTCAACATAATAGTTTTTTTTTTTTACAAATCCATGCTTAACCTTTGGAGAATAAATGTTATTTGTTATAATATAAATGTAATAGTGACATAGTTTCTGCAGAGGGGACCAATTTCTATTACTCAACAATATCTATAATTAAGCAGTGCCCTGGGAAGCATCTGTGATAGCCCTAGTCTAGGTGGTACATTGATGGTGTCAGGGCATTTGATCCAGAATTAGATGCCCTTCATATGACAAGTCTTCCTCCCTTCCTCTCTCCAAGGCTTTGTTTGTCAGGATCCAGGTCAGCGGCTAAATCGGACATCTTATTATTCTTCTGAGACAAGGAAAAATCCATACCAAAAAACTCAAGTAAGGAGAGAAGAGTTAAAACAGTGCTCCTGTGATTATATTATTACATTATGAATTATATTTGCTTGTTGGTCTTTCTATACTTTTTCTCCTCTGACTGCTTTTCTTTCTACATTTAAGCTGATCTTTAATATAGTATTTCTCTTTTCTTAACACTTTAGTCATGCATTGTTTTTATACTATTGGAAGTAAAATGATCTCTAGAAGTCCCTTGTGTATCTGAGAGGGTATTATTACTTCTTTATTTGGTGCTCTTAATATTTATAACATTTAAGAGGGAGGGAAGAGGAGTCAAGGTAAGCAGTGAAGTAACATATTGTATAGATGAGTCAGTTATATGGCCTTGGGTTTAATAGAGGCCTGGATTCAATTGTGTGTGGGAGGGGTGGCAGGGGAGCGTCTTAATCAAATGTGTCCCAGTGGGAAATATTGGGTACAGAATTCCTGAAAAGAAATTCCCCTTATCCATGTGAGTCTTGATTTCTGCTGTATTTCATACCATGTAAAATGATACTAGCACCATAATTGCTGCCATCTACTGTCTGCTTGTTTAGCGCTGCAAGGCAGTGTGAAGTCTTTTATGTTTCCCAAAGTCTGAACATAATTTGTGATCTGAATTAAGTTGCCGTTTGTTAATTTCGTAGGGTTTCAAATGTTTCAAATACTATTTGTAACCCAGAATTTATTGTTAGCTATCATATGAATCTGTAAAAGAAACAAGTATTATTTATTACATACATTACATACATTATGTATGCTAAGTACGCTTTCCCTCAGCAGTTTAAAATTAATCAATACAGTTCGCAACAGTTAAAATACACAACAAAACTTGATAGTTAAAGGATAATTAAAGGAAATTAAAACAATAGAAATACCAGCAAGAGCATACAAGTACAACATTAATCTTGATTTATTAAAATGTCTGGGAGAATTTAAATGCTGAAAAATAATAGTCAATTCCAGGTCTACTATATGGAGGCTTACCACTGACAAGACTTGCCTTCAGCTAGCCACTTGATATTTATTTAGGCATTCATTTATTTACCTACTTACTTTTGATTAATTGTATACTATGTAGTCAGTGTCAACTCTTAGCAACAACGTAAGTGGATTTTCTCCATGACTGTCTGTCCCTAACCTCATCCTTCAAGTCTTCCAATGGTGCATCCATTGCCACTTTAACTGAGTCAATCCACCTTACTGCTGATCATTGCTTTTCTTTCCACCTTTCCCAACATTAGAGCCTTCTCCAGAAAAAACGTCTAACTTATTTGATTTATAGACTGCCTGACTCTGCAACTCTGGGTGCATACATAAAGCAGTGTGAAACATTGAAATAGAAATAGCCAGAAAGGAGAAAATAGAATCCAATAAACAATTCATTTTATAAGGAACCCCTACCCACCACAGCTCAAGGCTTGGAAGAGACAGGTTTTAAGGGATTCTTTTAAAAAAGGTCAAGTGTATTTGTGAGGTTGTATTTATCTTATGCAGAATATATTTCCAGAGAGATGGCTCCATCACAATGAAGGTTTGCTATGGAGAGTACTCAAAGCAAAGCCTCCAAAATTGAGTTTGGGGTATAAAAATTAACAGATTTCTCAGGTAATAGTGCTCCCAAACTATGAAAACCCTAAGAAGTTAATACCAGATCCTAAAAGCAAATAAAGGTTGTATTAAACTGGTCGTAATGCAGCAGTCTTCTGCAATATTGTTTATTAAAAATTGGTGTTTCTAGACCATCTTCAAGGAAACCTCATGAATACCACATTACAGAATAGTTCCAAGGCCTGTATTATTATAGAATAGCTATCCTAAATTGGTATAAGGTGCATCACTCCATAGAGGACAATTGTGTATCTAATGGCAAAAATGGATATAGATGCACTCTCAACTAAAACTTGATCCTTTATGAGAAAAGCAATCCATCTCAGAACCCTCCCGGGCAGGCACATCATCCATTCCCAGCACTTCTGTCATCTCCAGATGAAGCTTCAGGGTTTTCTTTCTCTCTCATCCATTCCAAGCACTGAGTCAGCATTTCCACTATTTTTCCTGGCACTTATAAAAAGCAAGAAAGAGGCCTATATGCTGTCAGCATACTGATGATACTGCTTCAGATTTCAGAATGACCTCAATCAGCAGCCTTATAGTATGCCAAATACAACTGGGAATCGAATATAATACTGCAAAACCCAATAAATATAAATGCCATGGGACTGAGCAAAAGTCCTCCAGTGTCACCTTTTGGAGATAGCCTCCAGGTAAAATTGGAAACACTGCACAGCTGTTCAAGTCAAACCTAACTTGGACAAATTCTCCCCAAAGTTATCTAGGAGGAGAAAAATTACTTCTTCATTACCACAGAGTAGGTTCAATAATGAATTCTTAGCATTCAGTGAGATATAGGATAAGTTTTCCTCCACCTGCATTCCAGATGTTTCCCAGTTCGCTTCATTATCTTCTGGTGACTGCCTACCACATTTTTGAAGGGCACCTGCACAGTGACAAAGGATGCTCAGCAGCAATTATGAAAACTGCCTGCGTCATTTTTCTTTATTTGATAGCCTCAACCAGATTCTGACCTTGAAGAACCCAGATAAACACTAGGAAAACTTTCAAAATCCTCTGGAATCTGTTGTCCTTTGCAAATGGACCTTCTAATGGGTCCCCAACTATGCAGAAATGAATATTGATCTGAAGTCTAAATCTCAACAAGAAATGGTCAAACTCTGACAAAAATACATTCTTCAGCTCCAGGTTCCAATCCTTGTAACCAATAAGAAAACAAGCAAACAAACAAAATGCAAATGGATTGAAAATGTTCCCTGCCACATTGCTGCCATGAAACCTTGAGCAACTCCAACCTTGGTATATGGCATGGCTATTTTAATGCCCTAGAATCCTCATTTTAGAAGTCTTGGCGCCCAATCCAGGATCACCCTTAGACATGAAGACTGCTGGGTAACTGAATAGATGATATATCAACATCAGAAAAAGCACCGTACATTGGTATTAAAATGGACAGAAGATTGGAAAGAAAAAAGGAACTTCAGTAAGCATCTGCTTACTGTATTTGATCCTCTGTTTTGTTCAAAAATCATCTCACAAATCTCCAAGCCATGGTCAGTTATATAAGCTAAGTGTTTCATCCACAGTCAAATCAGAGATGAGAAAGGTCTTATTCATTTATCAGCCTAACATTTAAAAATAGTGTCAACATCCCAGAGGGCAAACTAATATAGTTGGTTGTCTGGAATGAAAGAAGAACCAGAAGAGGAGACAGGCACAAAATGCCTGATCTCTTCTCTCCTTACCTATCAGCCATATATTTTGCTTTCCCTGTTATTCCTTTGACTTAAAGTAATTTTGGGGGAGGGGGAATTCCATCCATGAAATGGTCTTGTCCAAGGAATGTTCGTCTTTTACTATCTTTCACCTTTTAGCCTATGGGGCACTTTAAATTTGATGTTGCATGCTTTGTATATGTGGGTTCTGTATTTCTTGAATGAAATATTTAAGATGTAAATTGGAGGATGAAGCAAAAATGGGGTACATTTTTATGTACATCAGAAATGAAGCTCTAATTTCAGACAATTGGTAATTTTGAAAGAGAACATGAAATCTTTATTCTTTTTATTTTATAGCGCCCTGTCTCTGCACAGTCTCGATCATCAAATGCCAAATTGGTAAATATTGGGCTCTATATTGCTTCATTCAGCATTTAGAAATTTAATCAGTTTATTTTGCATTTTTAAAGAAATATGTTTGCAGTAATCTTTAAAGTGATGCAAATAGTTGTGTTAAAGAGGCGAATAGACATTGGACAAGAATAAAAAATGTATTACTAATGGCATCAGGTCCAAGACTATGATTAATTATAGAAATACGACATTCCAAATATTTCTTTGGAAATATTCTCTAGATTCTAGATGAACCTATTTTCTACAATTCTGTGAAATATGGGAATATGGATGCTGTATGCAACAAGTCCTATGTAAGATTTTTATATCCTGCATTTTCTTTTCATGTTCTGTTGTTAGTTTCCCTCACTACTTGGAATGTATCTGTTGTCTGTCCTCTTTTAATATTTCTTCTAAGATTGTTATTTACACTAGAGAAATCCTGTTTTGAGATTAAACAAGATTGTGCACAAGTATAGAAGCACCTATACCACTTTAGTATTTTGCAAAATGAGCCAGATTACCAACAATCCTGAAACACAGAAAAATGCCTGTGTAAAAAGAAAATCAGCGCAAAGCTGAAGGTGATAAGGAAAGAAATATAATCTTGAAGACTAATTTAGTACTGTAGTGGCAGTGGCATACACATAAAGGACACAGCAAGCATTCAAGAATCTAAGGAAAACTAAAACACTAGGAATCCAATAATCCAAGCCTGTCTTTCCCAAGAGGAAAAAAAACTGTTGATAATCTTTCATTTTTCCTTTAAAAGAAGTCCATATTTGAACTAGCTGCATGGGTTATATTGTTTGTTGTATTAATGAGAAGACGTTCTAAACTAAATGGACTTTGGAATTAATGTGCCAAGTTCCTGTATGTTAATTAGTCCTACACATCAAAAAAGAAAGAAATACAATTATAAATTATATGATAACAATAGTTTGCCCAAAGATAATAGATTAAGTATTGAAAACTTTGGTAATTCTCTTCCAGAAGGATTAATAAGAATACCATATTACATAATTAAATCTTACTCTTTATTGGATTTCTGACATGCATTTTTTCTAGTAGTTCTGGAAATAACTCCTTTTTAGAACCAGCAAGAAATAACAAGAAGGGCAACTGTTTCATATCAGAATGACAATTGCACCTCATTAATAGAAACATAGTTTGGAACAGTGGTTCTTCTCAAGATACTTGCAACACTCAAGTTATTTTTGCTTTCTTTCTTCTAATCTGAGGATTGGGCAGTGTTTTCTATGCCCCAGTTCCTAAGCAAAGAAAAGGAATGTTCCAATGAACGCAGCTGATATTCCTGCCAGTTTCTAAGTGTAGGAAAACTACTACTCACTCTTGCAACAGAGACTGCTAAGTGCCACATTGGGAACCTGTCTGTGTGCTATGCAGTTTGTGGCTGAAAACAATATTAAATACTTCTGTTGCTTATGGCTATTTTCTCAATATGTTGGAAATGTCAGGTACAAAACAGTACATTCCATGCATTTCAGGAGGAAAAGATGGACAGACTCCTGGAAACACAAGAATGCATTGGGTAATGGGAGACACATAAGAAGCAAACTTATCAGAGTCTTCTCATGACTTTCTTGGCTATTATAGCCAAGTTAGATTGCAGGATTGTATAAAATCTATAAGATAATTTTGTATACATTATGTGTATTTTGGATTTATTTTTGTATTGTGAATCCCTTTAGTGCAAATGCAAAATAAAATATATTTCCAAGATGTTTCTGAAACGAAAATGTTTAGTGAAGATTATAAATTAGCCTATGACAGGGCTCGTAAGATGAGCTACAGAGTTTTCTGTCGATTTCATTGTTGATTCTTAATGAGGTAACATTTCCCTTGAGGGATAAGATCTATGACAGGGAGTCGTCCTTGACTCATGACTCCTGCTGGAAAGTCATGGCCATGTGTACTTTTGCTTAGCTCTAATTAATGCGCCAGTTGTTGCATTTTCCTGAACTTGAGTAGTTACTCATACTCTTATTATCTCTGGTTAAATTTGTACAATACTGTACATGGAACTGCCTTTGAAACCCATTCAGAACCTGCAATTGGTTCAAATGTAGGGGTCTGCATGTTAACCAGCCAGTATTGTTATTATCATTATTATATTATCTTGTATGCTCTGTGTTGGTTACCAACAGATATCTGGGTGTTAATCAAAGGTACTAATCTTGACTTAATGAGCTGGTGCCAAAGAATCTGCAAGATTGGCTGCTCCAACCTAAGTCTCCACCTCAGGAGACCCTTCTGAGAGAAGCTGCTGGTGATGCCTGATTTTTTGAGATGATTAAGGACAGAAAGGGCTGTTTCTCCAATATAGAAAAAAATTGGATCATGAACCACACTCCACCAGAAATTAAATTTGCTCTCTTGGTGACAGTTCTTGGGAGTTTGGGAACATTCAACTTTATTGGAGGGTCTTAGACTGCTTGCTCATTGCTGACATTGCTTCTATTTATTGTCTATTGTAATTATTATTTGATTTTTCATTTTAATTCATATTTTGTTGTGCATTTTGTTATTTAGAAGTGTGTTTCTTTAGGAATTTATTATCTCCAAAATCATTGATTCTGGTAATACAGAATCAAGTGAGACCTGAGAATTTTGGCTGTAGGCAAAGTCACAAGAAATATGTTTAATGCTTTGCCTATGGAGTCAGAAATCATCAGTGCTGGCTCTTGCTTTGGGGTGTATATCAAACACTGAGAATTTAAAGTTTGGCTTTGGTTTCTAAATGGGGTGTGGAGGCAAGGAGTATGAAACCTGGCATTTGTGCCTTTGGATCCTTCTGACTTTCTCATAATTCCTGGCTTCGATGCCTGGCAAGAGTTGTTCTTATTACTGTTTGTTAGCCAAGTGCTTTTGGCATTTGAAATCTATTTAAATAATTGGAATAAAATCAGGAGGGGAAAAAGAGGCCAAAACTGACTTCTTATTGTGATCCTACAGCGTTCCCGACCCCTCTCTGCCAGCGATGCTGAGATGAAAAACCTTATTCCCTCTGCAAAAGAGAAAGTTGCAGGAAGGCATGTTGGCTCCATGCTGGGCCTCTCTATGGAAGAGGTAAAGCAAATCATTTATTTAATTATCAGATTTCTATTGTTAAGACCAAACAAATCTAAAAACAGATTTAAAACAATATAACAAATTAAAAAGAATGGTGATAGTACAGAGACAGCAATAAAACATAGTCTGGATACAAATGTTTCCCAACAGAAGCACATCACACACTCTAGTCCAAAACATGAGAAAATTGTTAAGACTTGTTTAAATAAGTCCAGGGTGGAGACTAGAAATCTTATTTTGCACCTGTATGCACAGGCGTACATGCACTTTTTCAGAAGGCAGATGTTGCAATAAGGAAGTCTTGGGTCCTATCAAACAAATGTTGAATTGATGGGACTTTAGCCATGTGAACTTTGTACAATCATTCTAATCCCAATCCCAATCATTCATTGGGAGAAATTGCAGGAGACAGGTACTCCCTTAGCATCAAGACCTATGAGATCCACCTGCAGTGCCTACCAACCTTGCCATACTGAAACTTAATATTGTATAGAGAAAAGAGAACCACATTCTGCCCTCACTCTTAATCCCCATAGCCAGTCCAGAAGAAATACCATGATTATTGGTATTGAATGCCACCATGAAATGAAGGAGGAAAAGGACAATTGCACCATAGCATTCCATCTCTTCCAGAAGTCATTGACAAGTGTGATCAGTGAGTGGTATATGACCAATTAGATAGAAATTGCCCAGGACTGTTGGGTTCAGCAATACTGTATTCAGTCCTTGCATATAAATGCCTATAAAAGGGAAAGGAGAATAATATTTTTAGTTGATGTGTTCGATAACTAGATATATTTGTCAGATTGACATTTTGGAAGTCCAGTGGACAGCAAATGTCAAAAGAAGAAAGTATCTGTATATTGGAAGCATTAAAATTGGTGCTGTAACTAGGGGGGGTTTATTTACAAGGCTTATGTTTATATACTTTGGCAGGTGCTGAGGAATTTCAGAGCTTTCTGGGAAATGAGATTCTTTTGTGAGCTTAACATTTTTTGATTTCTAGCCTTCCTTCTGATTTTAGATAAAAGTGTTGCGCCGAGTGAAGGATGAATATGATAGAAGAGGCGGGTTCATTCGTATATTCCCTACACCATTAACTTGGGATATTTATGGGTAAGAAAAACTTAAGAAATCAATTCTGCTATCTTAGATTTTGTAGAAGACTTTTAGGAAGAAATAGATATAAAAGCTGTTTTTTTCCAATGATCTCATTACCAATTTCCATATTTCAAGCTGCATTTTCAGATCATGTCTTCAGCCTTGTAGTAGAAGAAAAGCTTACTACTGATTGTATCTTGTATCTTTCTGTATGATCAATATTTTCCTTTATAGATACTATGACATCCTTAGGTATTCCTCCTTCCAAACTTATAATGTAAGTTTTTTCCCCTTGTTTTTTAGAATAACCTTTGATATTTTCTTCTGTTCAGATATTTTTCTTTTTCATGATGAACTTTAACTCTCTTACTCTTGATTTCTTAGGCCTTTTCTGGAACACAAGACAACAATGAACTATATGCTGGCTACTCGTCTTTTCCAAGAAAGGTAGGAAGGCTGTTATAGTGCAACATGTACAGTGAGGCTCCTTTTGTAGGAGAGGCAATTTGGTGGCAGCAGTTCTTTAAAATACAAGCGCAGCTCAGAATGCACATATTCTTAAAACGTTGCATGAGACACAAAACAATGCTCAGCAGGAGATTTTTAAAAATCTGCAATTGCAAGCATCAGTGTTGCTGTATGCACTTGATTGGGTATATATGGAAACAGGCAAAAATGAAATTTAAAAAATAAAATTCAATAGGTGATTAATCACACCATTCATCTCCTTATGTGGTTATCATTTAAAAAAAAAAAAAAACCTAAAAACTAATTCCCTTATCCCAATTTCTTTTCTTACTCACTATACCCAGACAGCAGTGCCAGCTCTTCTTTTAGAAGTAGCTCCTTTGGCTATGCTGAGTGAAGGGATATGTACTTATTTTTATTTATTTATTTTTCATATTTTTTGGACTGTCCATCTCTCTCAAAGAGGGACATGTAGAACAAAGTTTTAAAATATAAAAACAGTATGTATAGAAGTTTAAAAGAATAGAAAGAGGCTAGGATGATGATGATGATGATGATGATGATGATGATGATAATGATGATGATGATATCATCCATTCCAACCCTTGGTGATTCTAGGACCCAGGTCTCTCCACATCTTCCAATCTTGCACTGCTTCTTTGAGTTTTTCTATGCTCTGGTTGGTGTCAGCTTTGATGGTGGCGATGATAAAGCACTATTAAAATTTAATTAAAAGTTGAAGGGATGGTTTCAGGGCACTAGCCAGTCCCACGGCTGCATGCTATGAGGTCACAGAGTTATAATTTTAACTCCTTTTTGTAAGGCCAGGAGAGTGGGGGGAGGGGGGGCTGTTTTGCGGGAGGGGGAGAATATTCTACATGGTGGAGGGAATAACAGAGAAAGCTTTCTTCCTGGGCCCCACTAGTTGATCTTTAATTGATGAGATCTGCAATATAGCTTCCCTGCTTGACTAGGTGAGATGGGCTGATGTAATGGGGTGAAGATAGTTCCATAGGGCTTTTTTTCTAAAAAAAAAAAATCTCTGTTCCTTTTCATTTTTCTTTTCTGCATCATTGTTATGCAATATGTGTCTATCCTAGTCATTCTGTATATCAGTGCAGCCAGAATTTGAAACCATTCCAGGCAATAAGAGTTACAACACTGTAATATTAAAACATGATATATTTGGCATTGTATAGCAACTGCAGTTATCAAAAGAAAGTCATGGTAGTACCCTGGGAAAAACGGGGGTATTGAAGAAAAATGAAACTGAGATATAGGATGTGGATTTCACTGTGTGCCATGTGGTTCAGAAATTATATCAGCGGGGTAAACTATGTAAATTGAATCTAAGAAGTTGAAATAGTAAAAAGTGCTAGAAAATATGATAAATGATAGTGAACATAGAGAAGGAGTGCTTATAAACAAAGCACTGAAACTGTATGACAGTTAAGAAGATTTAAATTGTTGATGACTACTGTATAAGCTGAGGAAGTCATAGAATAATTCATATGCAAATAAGAACAGGAGATTCCTAAGAACATAAGAATTGGCTTTCTGAAGTAGAACAAAATCTTTACCAACAGTTTTTCTCAACAGTTGTCTGTCCAAATGTCTCTACAACTTTACCACTGCATTTAATTGAATGTCTTCTACTGTTCCATTAATTTATTTAGTTCAGTGGCATTTTATTTGCATTCTTTATTATATGCCAACATTTAGGTGCTACCAAATAATCCAGCTATTATAGAAGTCAGAAGTCACTTCTGACTTCAAAACAGTTTAGTGAAATCGATAAAGGTAAAGGTTCCCCTCACACATACGTGCTAGTCATTTCCCGCTCTAGGGGGCGGTGCTCTTCTCCGTTACAAAGCCGAAGAGCCAGAACTGTCCGAAGACGTCTCAATGGTCATGTGGCTGGCATGACTAAATGCCTAAGGCGCATGGAACGCTGTTACCTTCCCACCAAAGTGGTCCCTATTTTTCTACTTGCATTTTTACATGCTTTCAAACTGCTAGGTTGGCAGAAGCTGGGACAGGTAACGGGAGCTCCATTACGCAGTGCTAGGGATTCGAACCGCTGAACTGTCAACCTTTCTGATTGACATCTTAGCCACTGAGCCACCGCATCCCATTAGTGAAATAGAACCATTCCAATGTAACATCTTGTGATAACCTATCAATTTTTAAATATTTTTGTTTTATTTTTACAGACTTGCATTCGATCTGTCATTTTATCCAATAATTACTAGGTTTTTAAGAAGCTTTGTTAATGACCAGTTTTTACATTTATGGTTGATGTAGCATTTTATGTAACCTTGATTAGGTAATATGTATAAAATTATGAATGGCATTCTATGCATGAATAAAACAACATGCATACATAAACTGGTTTTAGATTGAATATGGAGACTGCTAAACCTAAGCCCTATAAATTGAAGTTTTATTATATAAGCCTTCTAGTGTTCTTCCATTACAGGAACTCCTTAGAATTCCTCGCCCACAAGACTATTGTCTATGCAGGCTGGACATTCTTAAGAGTTGTAGTCCATGCACTAGATTGGAAAAAGTTGACATATGTAAATAGGTTTCTCCATATGAAAATTTGGAAATGACCAAGTATAAAAATATACAATTGTTTATATAATGCAGTATATATTTGAACAATTTCTAGATTTCCTAAGCTGTACCCAAGTATTCTATGTCTAAGAATATTTATACATTAGAATATTTCCATCTGAAAATTTCTTTTGAGATATGATTTTTCTTAAAAATTACTTTGATATAATTTTTGAGCCATATCTCCCATTCCTGATATGGTAGGATTAGAAGTTCAATTTTTGTTTTATACCATTATTACAGTACATTATAGTAATAATGTAATTCATAATGACATAATTATATAATTGGTAGTCTGTTGTTAGAAAGACTACACAATTTCCTTCCTTCCTTCCTTCCTTCCCTCCCTCCCTCCCTCCCTCCCTCCTATCCATCCACCCATCCACCCTCCATCTTAGGATTTTGAAAAAGGAAGCTGTCTTATACTAAAATGTTTAGTTGTGTATTTAGCTCAGTGTTACCTACTCTTCAATTATGGAACTTTCCAAAATCTCATGTAGATAGTTTTTCTAACTCTCATTGTCCAAGATTCTTTTAATTAGAAGTGTCAGGCATTGAATCCAACCTTATCCAATGTATGCTATTCTATGGAGCTGCATGTTCACCACTTCATTACACATGAAAGGCTATTGCTTCATTGAGAATACCATGTCTTACAGTTGCTGTTTGCTGAATGCGGGGGTGGGTGGGGGGGATATATTTTAGGATGATTATCCATCAGTAGTTCTTCAACTGATCCCAGGAATAAATCCTTTCTCCTTGCTGCTATTTAATATTAATTTTTAATGAAAACAAAATATTCCTAAAGGGAGAAATGACTGAGTGTGAGATTTATTTGTTTATAAAAATATATTTGGAAATGAGGTGGAATGTCAGGCATTTCAAACAAAAATATTTGCAGTAAACGTTTTCAAAATGTTTCAAATGCTTGCATTTCATCCTCTTTAACAGACCAAGGTTGCTTCAGAGGACCACATCAAACAATAAATGGTATAGATTTGTTTTGTGAATCTAAGATAAAACCCACGCCAGTAGATCATGTCTTTTAAAATAAGTTAACCATATGGAATTATTATGCAACATTTTTATAATATTGTCACTCATCCACTTCATCATCAGTAGTAGTAAGTCAGGAACCAAGCAGTGCTCCAAAACCATTTTTTGTTACCGTAATGCTTCTGCCAGGTAAAGATTTGACACTCAAGATAGTTGCTGGAGGATATTAAACTGTCTGTTGCACCTGTATACTGACAGTTGAAGCATGCTCACATTGAAATTATTCAGCAAATTAATAAAGGGCAAATCTATCAATGATTATGGATATTGACAGTGGAGATGCAAGGGATATATTTATTAATCCTGGAGAGGAAGAATGGGTAATTTGTTTCTTATGGTCTGTCAAATTTTTTAGTTACTCAAAGGCAGGACATGAACTTCTCTTTTGCTATGATTCCCCTGCAACAGTAGGCGGGGCCTCATCATGAATCAACAGTGAGCTTTTGGTTTCTGCATTTGCTGTCTTTGAAAGCACAACATGGACATTATTCTGATGTAGGGAGACAGTGCTAATTGTCTTTAATTTCACCTAAACTGCCATTTTTATCAAACAGTTTAGTTTTTCTAACAGTTATTTTTATAGATTTATTGTGCTTTGAGATAAACCTGTCATATAACTAATATAATCACTCCTATTTCTTTATAGAGGGAGTTCAAGGAAAGGACCAGTTCCTAGACGAGCTCGGTAAGACTTGAAATAAAGCTTCTGATGACATGCAAAGGACTCCATTATTTTGTAAATAGGACTTCCTGAATATTTTTTTATCTGTCAAGAATGACAGATGAACTGTGGACCATAGCCACATTCAAGATGATCTATAGCAGTGGTCCCCAACCTTTTTTGTACCAGGGACCAGTTTCATGCAGAAACACTTTTTCAAGGACCGGTTAGGTTATTTATTTATTTATTTATTATTATTTTTTATTTTATTTACTGTTATACTATGAACTCACCAAAATTAACCAATGTTGGAGGATTACTAAAAATGTGTATAAATGCAAGACTAGACTCCAATAAAGTCATCATGATTCAGTTGATCGTGATCAAACAAAAATATATGTTTGGCAACATATATGTTTTCTCCAAAAGAGTTTTGTAAGGTAGTAATCTGCAATTCAGATTTTACATTTAGGATGGGTTTGATCTCCCATATGGTCTTCAGCTTTCCACAATCTTAACAATTGTAAGGTGTGTGCGGAATTCAGAGAGTCCAAGTCCACACATTTTAAAGATTTGTCATATATATACAAAGTAGGGATTGCACTAAACATATGTAAGTGCAAAGAAACCCTTTGCCTATCCAGTGTTTTCAACTCCAGCAATTTTAAGATTATGTGGACTTCAACTCCCAAAATTACCCAGACAGCATTCCGGACTTCTTAAAATTGAGAAACACTGCTCTTCATTTTAAAAATGTTAAACAGATAGCTGCACTTTCCCACTCATCCCCACACATTCCCCTTCTTCCAAAATATCTACAGCCCAAATATTTTGTCTTCACCCATTCTAGTGGGATCCAAGCACGCTGGGAGGCAGAGATTCGGCCAAGGCCGTCAGATGAAGAGACGGCCGCCACCCGGGGAGCGCCCGCTGCTTTCCCTCGCCAGGGCCAGGTGGTGGCGTGTTGCCCTGTGCCGCATGACCCCCGCCTGGCAGCGCGCTTCTCGGCATGAGGCAGCCGGGTTGCTCAAGGAGCCCGGCCGGCCAGGCGAGAGGAAGGCAGCGAGGCCCTGCTGGGCTGGGGTGGAAAACCCGCTTGGCAAGGGGCCGGGGAAGCTTGTGGGCGGAGGACCAAGTGCGCTGGGAGGCAGAGATTCGGCCGAGGCCGTCAGACAGAGAGACGGCTGGTCTGTGGCTGCCCAGCTCCCTTTTCCTGCCGCTCACCTGAGTAGCCTGTAGCCGCGTGTCGGTGAGATGTGTCGGAACAAGATGGTGCCGAAGCAAAGTAGGCGGCCCAGTCCCAAATGATCCATGGACCAGTACCTGTCCACAGACCTGTGGTTGGGGACCCCTGATCTATAGAACCTTCCCAAAAGATGCTGTCAAAATGCAATTTTAAATGTGGCAGAGGAAAATGATTAAATACATTAATTAATTATATAACTTAATTATATAACTTTTGTTTTCATCTTGCCTATTTTTTGCAAGCTACTTAAATACTTGTTTATCTGTCAGCATTAAAAATGTGTTCCAATAAACAGGTCAGATTCATACTTTGAGTTGGTTTTCATTTGGATAAAAGGAGTAAGGTGCCCATTTGTAGTATACGTAATACTCCTTCTTTGAGTTTAACATTTGATCCTTTTTGTAAACAAATGATTGATAACTGCTGATGAGGCTAAGGCAAGACAAGTATGATAATTTGTAGAATAGTTGTAATTACCTCAGATACTTTTTGCTACTTTAATCCATTATTACCGTACATGTTTCTAATCAACTATTTAATTTCTACAGTAAAAATTGCTAAACGAACAGCTGAGTTTGGCTACTGTTAACTAGTTGACTAGTCTTCACTCTGTAATGTTCATTTCCTGGGTTTCCTATGTAGAATTAGGAATAAGTAGATCAGGCTTCAGCAAATTTGTGTCAATATTAATATATTTCATTGAATTTGCATTTCTTTTAGTTAATTTTGTATTGGATTGTATGCACAGTTCTGCCTAATATTTGGCATTAATATTAAGCTAGACTTGTGAACATATCCATTTTGATATTTGAAAAATAATTTTCTGAAGGGTTTAACAATGTTGATGCAGAGAGTTTATAGATCAAGACTAAAATTAGTTTATTTGGATTCCAAATCCATAATGACTCCCACCATCTTACATAGGAAACTATCTTGGGTTAGTCTGGGAGATCATTTAAATCCCTTGTAGACCATGGAATATTCTGAATAATTTTAGACTATTATTTTTCTCTCAGCCATCCCACTTTATACATTTGTTGTTAAGATAAAATTAAGGATGACCTTGAATAAAGTGTTCTGAGTTCCTTAAACAAAAGGCAATTCTTGAGCAATTCATTGTTTTTCAGGCTTACCTATTTCACAGAGCAATATTGAGCTTAAATGGCTGACCAGGATAAATATACAACCTTTACTTCCTACTGGAAATAATGGAAGAAATCTAATTGCTATGGATCTTAATCCCACATAGTCATAAAAAGGCCAACTGGGACATTATAGAACATTGTATATAAATCAGTTTTTCAGTTGTTCCAGCAGAATTTCTTAATTCTTAGCTATTGTCCTGTTAATATAAAAGAACAGAAGGCAAGTCTTGCCAATCTTTTTCTGGAATCCTCATACAAATTTATATCTTACTGTAAAGAATTGTGAACTGTGAAGACTGGAATATAATAAAATTATGAAAGAGATTATAATAGACAATTATTTGCATGTTTGATCATAATGTACACATTAATGCCTCCAAACTCGAGTTTTCAGTAACATCCCTCTATAGTACTGTTGTGCCATCACAACTTCTCTAGTTTATTTCAATTGTATTCTCGTGTAGGTATTTTTAGGTAAGTTGGCTTCCCCATTATGAATTGTGGATGGATTTCCCAGGAACTGATAATTTTGACAGAGGCCCACAAAATTGCCACTCTGTTTGTTTTATCAGCCCAATAAGATTTAATGAGGATGGCAGAATGCCACCATAACATTTGGTTTTTAAAGGCATTGATTTGTTTTTCAAATCCTTAATACATTTTGTTTCATTTTTCTGGAAAGCTGAGGTCTCACTTTTCACACAAAGTAGATACAGCTAGGTAACTTTGTTCAAACTAGCTTGATGGCTTTAGAAGTCATAATGTACTGAATCCCCCCCCCGCCCCCCAAATATATAGGCCAATTGGGAAGATCATTTAGCTGTCTTTGGATGTTGGTACAAAAGCCATGAAGGATTTTCTCTGTTACTCTCTTTTGCAGTTTAGCTCTTGCTGCTGAACTGGGTCTGGACATAGTGGATTGTAATGCTCAGCTTCATGCTGCTTTGTATGAGCGGAAACTATTATCACTAGAAGTTCGAAAACAAAGGCGACGTTTTGGCAAACTGAGACCAGGAAGATTATCAAGATTGTCAGGTACCTACAAGTTCTGTTTATTTTCCTGTTGTGTGGATATACAGGTTTAATGCAGAAAAACCATATCTTACATGTGTAGATGCTTGTATCTGTGGAATTAAAAAAAAAGTTTATATAGATTTCCCATTTGGCTTACTTAGTGCTGTTACATAATCCATTACTACCTATTTAGAGATGTAAGCACTGAGTAGTATACATCAGTCTGTGTTTTTTTTTTTCAAATTTAGTTTGCTAAAATGTTGAGAATTGGAAATATACTGATTCTGACAGGTACATCACAATCAGCTGATTTTATCCTCAAGTCAGAAACAGAATGTGAAGAAGAGGAGGAAATAGAAGATGAAGAACTAGAAATATGCCAAGGTGAAACAGTCGGCTCTCTCAGAAATACGCCCGTGAAATTTAAGCCACAGTTGACAGAGATGGTGAAGCCCCCCCACCAAGTCAAAGTACCAAAGGAACCTGAAGAAAAGGCTGTAAATGAAGGGCCTCGTCCTCCTCCTCCTCCTCAAGAGAAACTGGAACCAGTGCCAAAAAATGCTGATCCTCCATTTAATTTGCTACAGATTCTGCAAGAGAACAGGAATCTAAGGTAAGAGAGTTCATGGGATTGATTTGGCTAAAGGACTTGCAGTGCCTTCACTGTTTGTATCATATTGCTGGTTGCACTGGGGCATGTGGCAGTTGACATAGAAAATAACTGAGTTGTGGTGGAACATCTAGAATATCTAAATACGGAACATAATAGAAAATAATAGTGTAAGATGCATGGATGGCTGCCAGTGTTTTTGATAGCAGTTTTCCTCTTTGAAAGCTACCATTTAGAACTTAAAGCAGAAAAAGGTAATCAACAGGTTCTGAAATCCATCTTCATAACCTCTTCCAGCCACTATTATTGAAAATTAATAGCACAATTTCACACCATTTTGAGGCGTAAAACTCCTCTAGTAATAGTTCTAAATATTTTAAAAAATTAAGCCATCTCAATCTCTCCAAGTCATTCAAGTCCAATCCATTCTATTTTGCATCATTGGTTCAATTATTGAAGCCCACAGTTTCCCCAAACATTTAGAAACAAAGTACAGATACGTTGTAAACAATTTTACTAATGATTGTTTAGAGCTAGCTCCAGGCTTGAAAGTGGTATCCTTTCCAGCCTAAAACTGGCTCTGGACCAGGAGATCCTTTATTACTAACTAAATGCCCTGGCACCTTTGATGGAACATTGGAACATTTGAGCTCTGCCTTACTCTTTCGACAGAGGACTTACTTGGTACTGAATTCATGAGATACTGCCACATTCTGTCTTAGTAGGCAAGCTTTTGGAACAACGGTAGTAAATTTCTAGAAGGCTTTTGAGCAGATATTAAGTGCCCGTTGTCAAGCAGCTACTTTAAAAAAATCTTATAATATAATACTTGAGTGTTTGGCACCTAATTGTATTAGGATCATAGCATTCCTTTGACTCCTATTAAAGATTGGTTGCAACCATGTGGGCCGGATGCTGCTATCACTCCCAGATAAGCAAGCCAACTAAAGGAGCAGGAGGCTAGTAATTATGCTAGCTGCATAATGGCAGTGGTGGGCATGATGAAGATTATACTGGTAGTGATTTACTGGTAGCGATGTAGCCTTTCACAGCAGGTGGCAATCAAGTTAATGATCAGCATTTGGGCTGAATGGTTGTATTCCAGCTTCCTAGACCAGCCAGAAATCCATCTGCACAAAGAACCTGATCAAGGACAGGTTAATCAAGAACCTGTTTGACTGGAATTTCTCCAAAATGAATCAGATGGAGATGAGAGACCACCTTTCTTCGACTCCTATGACACAGACCAATCAGAAATCAGTTTGCCAGGTTCAAATACAAGATTCCAGCTAGTCTTGGTTGCCTGTGAGTTGCCAAGAGATATACCACAATGCAGTCGACTGCTTCTTAAGGTGCTAGCTGCAATTGCTGGTGAAACCTCTGTAGAAAATTATGCTATGGCCATTCAGCCTGAAAGCTAATAGTTGCTTGATAGTACTGATTTATTGTTCTGGCAATAGGCAGCTATCTGCTTTTGTTGATCTCTGAAGCCAGCTTTGGATTCTTATCTTCATGCGCTGTTTAAATTTCCCAGGTGCACCTGGTCACTTTTGCAAGATAGTACCATAGTAATTTGATGTTTCTAAAATGTTCTGTGTTTATAGATGTTATTTTTTTTTTGCTGCCGTTTTCTGTAAAATTTGATATAATTCACTGGGTCAACTGTATATTTGTCCGGAACATTTTATTTAGAAAAGCCTTTTCATTCTCTAGATTTAAAGCCATTGTGACAGCATTTCATAGCATGTTGCCATCAGATATCACTTTTTATTACTGTTGTAAACTCTTTATTTTTGTCTATGATTTGAAAAAAAATATATCACTATTTAAATATAGATTTTGCTTGCTATTTTGGTATTCCATCTTTAAGATAAATGTGCATTCAGAGTATACAACAAACTTTTATTTAGGTTGTTCAAAAGTTTTGACAGCTACATTAAAATGGAAAAATAAAAATATTTCAGCTGGTAATATATACATTTAGGGTATATTTTCCATATAATATATATTTTCCATATAATATATGGAAAATATATCTTAATGTATAGGATCCTGGAGAATCTTAACTCCCCATGTGTTTTTATATATCTTCCAAGTTGGATCCATATTTAACAATACTTACAGTTGTGTCACATGGAAATTGAAGGGATTTAAGTTAATAATCAGTAACTTTTCACATTAATTTTAATGAAAACAAAGGATGCTGAGTAGATCCAGCTTTTAGTATGGAAAACCATTTCCTATCATCTAGTCTAACAAAGTTGGAATCCCTTAATTTCAGTTTGTAGGTGATAGAATTCTCACTTTATAATTTGGCATGTATATTTTCTGCAATAGGGAAAACACATGAATGGATATTGCAGTTGGTTAGAATATTGATTCCATAGTATGTCCTGAACAATATAAGAACAAAATTACATTTATTTTGTATAGCCTGCCCATCACACATTTGTGACTCTGGGTAGCTCACATGGAGTAATTAAACAACTCAGCAAAACAAAAAATAAAAAACGCAAGATACAGTAAAAACAACTCATTTAAAACAGATTAAAATCAAATTAAAACCAGAAAGTATAATAAGCTGGTAAGTGCAACTCATGCGTCAATCAATAGCCCATAACTGGATCTCCCAAGCCCATTGACAGAGCCATGTCTTTAGAGTCTTTTGAAAGCCATAAGGGGGTTGGGACCAATCTAACCTCTGGGGTGTGGTGTTCCAAAGGGTGGGCAGTGCAGCAGAAAAGACTCCTCCCATTAGATAAGACAATATGGGGATGGGGAGTATTTCTTGTAAACCATTAACTAATGAGAATTATCAATGCCAGCATTTTACAGAAGTAAATTGATATATCTGTGTTGCTGAGTCATTAAAATCTTTGGCCATTAATCTAATTTCATTTTTTGAGGCAATATAAAGTTAATTTATAAAATGAAATACAGAAGATACAAAATTAAAATATGGGAAGTTTTAAAATGGTTCTGTTCTTGGCTAACATTCTCGAAGAGCAGTGAAAATTGTATTAAGAGCTTATCCTCTCCACTTAATTTGAATAACGTCCATAGTTCCCACAGTGTTCAGAGAGTAATTAATATGCAGCAAACATCTTGATTTGCATGAATATTCTGAGAAAGTGCAAATGTTGACTGTGTACTCTGAAGTTGTGTTTGAGAGAAGAGCTTTCCATTTTAAACTTGCACTTATCTTCCATATTTATTTTGGAGACATGGAAGTTTTGGCAGCATGAAATTTCAGTTTGGAAATTTAGAAATTTAATCCTTTTCACTTGGAGCTCTGTAATACAGTTCTCAAGTTATACAGTTTTACTGGATTAATCAGGCTTTTCCAGTTTAATTCCAATGAAATTGTGTCTTTGCTGATCCAGATTCTAAACTATTTATCCCCTTCTTAACAGCTTGGAGAGTAAAAGCTGTATTTTCATGCCTGCTTTTACCTCTCTTCTGTAGCAAAGTTCAGGCTCGCAGAGCTTTCTCTGCTTACCTGCAGCGTGTCCAGCTGCGTCTGATGAAAGAGGCTGGTGATGAGGTCCACAACCCAGTCTGGGCTGCCAAGGAAGATGAGCAGATGGTAAGAAACGGTGTGCTTGCCCAGTACTTTTCAGGAAGGGACCCAGCTGTTCCTACTCAGCATTCCTGAATCATAGTCAGTATGAAGCTGATTCCTCCCAGCTAGGGCTGAGCAGAACTGCTGAACATTTAACTATTTGCAATGTTGACACATCTTACCTTTGTCCGTAATTTAAAACAGTTTGAATGCGTCCTTTTGATCTGATCTAATTTATTGATGTGCAGAACAAGTAGAAGTGTGTTTGGAGTCTGATAGAGATTAAGTTTAGCTGAATAGCACATGGCTGTAGTGATAGCGAATTTAGATTGCTATATTTCTTTTACATTTAGTTCCCCATTACCTCTTCTTAAACTCTGCATATAACTTGGCTACTAAGTATATATCTCTGAGTTGTTTTTCTAATTCCCCCAATCACAGAATCACTTTGGGTGTTTTATATAAAGTACTGGATTTATAGCACTTAATGAGATTCCTCCACATTTCTAGTCATCTTAGCCCAAGTTGAGACTTTGTGAAAACAGGCAGTGCATATTGAGCCAATCTAACTCAAAGATTAAAAACCTTATGTCAGAAATAAGGAATAATCAGTTTGCCTCAGTGGAAAATGTTATCCCACTCTTTCCAAGTGGAAAATTGAAACTGGCTTTCTAAGAGATACTTTGCCTGCTCTGCTATGAAAAATAATATTTAGAGTAACAGTTCAGACCAATCTAATATAATGCTAATGAGAGGTAAATTGTGAAATGTAATGGTTTGGCTATGAAGCACTTCATTTACATGTTTAGTAGGGCATCAAGCCAAAAGCAAATCTAAACTGGAGACAGGATGTGTTTGAAATCAAACACCACGGCAGAAAGCTTAATACTTATTTTTCAGGGAGAATATTTCTTCTCTACCATTATCTGGTGACGAAGAAGAAAGAAATAATAATAATGCAGTCCTTAAAGTAAGATAGTATGACCAAAAGTGATTCAAGTAATGAATAATGGCAGCAAAAGTATACCTAACCAAAATGGCATGGAAAAATCTTCTACCCTTCAGATACGTGCTTTTTATCTGTGGCTACCAGACAGATACAATAATATAATAGACAGGTTAATAGACAGCAATAATAGACATTAGCATTGTACATGCTTTAAAATGATTTAGAACGAATATACAATCTTGGGAACTTTAAGACTTGTGGACTTCAACTCCCAGAATTCCCCCACCAGCCATATCAAAGTCCACAAGTCTTTCCAATGTTGGATATCCCTGATTTAGAAGATTGTTTTAGAACTTGTGGGAACATGCCTCCACTCTACCATTCCACACAAGCCTGAAGAAAAGAGGCTGTTTTAATGAATTGACTCATTAAAACAATTGTGAAATTTAATGTGACATTCAGAGGAGCTGTACCTTTATAGGCTCTCATGGAAGCCTGAAAAAAGACACAGTATTTGAATGAGCAGAAGGGATGTACCACACGTGTTCTTGAACAGTTCTTCCAAGATACATTCAAAGCATGCCCAGATTTGATAGGTAATGATAAAACACTTGAGGTTGCACATTCCATCTCCTTTATCACACATTTTTCTTTATAACGTGGTTTCTTTGAAACAAATTTAGATATACTTTTAATAAAATTGAATGTTTGGATTCTGTCTTTAGTGTTGTTTCTTCACGGCAGGAACTGGTGGTTCGTTTTTTGAAGCGAGCAGCTAGTAATCTTCAGCAGTCGTTGAGGATGCTACTTCCAAGTCGGCGCCTGGCTCTCTATGATCGTAGGCGCATCTTAGCTCACCAGCTGGGTGAATTCATCGTCTGCTATAACAGGGTGAGTATTGATTATGCTAGCTGAATGGTGTTGCACCAGCACAATATTAATTTACAAGTTCTAGTGATCATCATTCTATTTATTTATTTATTTTTTGCTTTAATGAATCTCATTGTATCCAATGTGCAAAGAAAAAAAAAGTAGCAGCATAAGTCATTCATTCGTCAACTTTTCAAATGTCTAGTGCAATGATGGAGTGGATTTTTAAAGACCTAATCTGCAAGTTATTTATGAGAGACAACTAACTTCTGGAACTTGCACATTGTAATGCAGTTCTGCAATCCTGTTTCAAGCATTGCAATGAAAGCAGAAGGTTCTTCATTTAAGGTTTTGTTTTTCTTGCACCTTTGTGATTTGGCATAAATAGGTAACTCCGTAACGTGCAGACAAGTGTTAATGTTTTGTTTAAATGTTTAATTGATTTCATAATCAATAAAATCATTCTCTGAAGTACCTGTTTCCGGTGACAAATTAGTAATATTTTCGGATATTTTTATTGCAACAACTTTGACAGTAACTTCCAATTATGTTTTTGAAATGCAAATGAATTTGTTTACTAAAACTGATTGATGTTCAGATTCATTGCCCCTAAAAAGAAACAAAATCATGACAGTTCTGAAACTATTGGTCAAAATGTGTCTAGTCATTTTGCTATTTTTGTTGGGTTTTTTTAAATGTGATTATGCCCCAGTAAAAACTAAACTGAGTGGCCAGGGTTATTTAGTAATAAGTTTTTTAGGGAAAGTAGAAGTTATAATGACTGACTTCATGTTTTGCAAGAATAGGAATAGCAATAGCGCTTAGACTTATATACCACTTCACAGTGCTTTACAGCCCTCTCTAAGCGGTTTACAGAATCAGCATATTGTCCCCAACAGGCTGGGTCCTCATTTTACTGACCTCAGAAGGATGGAAGGCTGAGTCTCCTTGAGCCAGTGAGAATTGAACCCCTAGGTGTGAGCAGAAGTAGCCTGCAGTACTGCATTCTAACCAATGTGCCACCGCGGCTCAATAATACTATATTAGTGCTCAAAATTCTTGTGATGTACAATATTTGTAAATTCAGTATTTGATTCCACTGGTATTACTAATATCTTCTTCAGTGCAGTGGCATCTTGGGAAGGGGGGGAGTAAGGGGAGCAAATGACATTTATGATGATATAGAAATGCAATGACTTAATGCACTTGTGTCTGATGTCACAATATGTATTCAGTTGCAATGTTTACATAAATATCAATAGAGTAACTATTTGCTTTAAAAGGACACTGAGTAAGTACCATTTCCCTAAGTACTCCTCCAAGCATCCTAATACTATAAAACACATTCATAGAAAAGGTGATTTGAGAGATTACTCTGTTGCTGCTGATTTTTAGGAAACAGATCAAATGTCTCAGAAAAAGGCAATGAAGAAACAGGAGGAAGAAGAAGAAGAGGGGGTAGATGAAGAAGGCTTTCACAAGTTTATAACTAAGGCAAGGTATGAATTACTCAAAGGCATTCAGAGCAATAAATTATATTGCCTCCTATTGGAAATCAATTTGAAACTTCTTAAGGTATTGTTTTTTTTTCTTCTGTATGTCAGATGATTATTGTATTTATCTCTGCGTTTTTCATGGATGCTAGGCAAAACCTGTCTTGATACTTCTGATCCCATCTGCTTTGTAAACTAACCTATACTGAGCTCTGCTGCTAGTTAATACAACTGTTTAGTGGTAGAAATAAAGTATTATAATTTTTCAAAGGAAAATAGAATTGGATGTACTCCAGTGTAAATACAAGGATTATATTTTTCTGGGATTTTCCTTCTTTCTCTATTTTCACTGTAGCATAGCCCTAAAGAAGGAGCAAAATCCATTTTGCAACAAAGATGGTACTGTATAGTTCTGAAGAGGTAGTGTTTAAATTACGGAGACAGGAGCCTTGGCTATGGAATTTTTGACAGTAATTTTATTAATCAAAAATGTTCTATTTGGGGAGGGGGTTCCTTTAAGTCAGTGTTGACTCTGGACAACTATCTGGACTACTGCAGGTTTTGTGGCAGATCTTTCACAAGTGATTGTCCTTGTTACCTTCCTAGGGCTGAGAAAAAGTGACTGGCCAAGGTCATCCTGCTGAATTTGTACCTAAAGTGAACATAGAATTACAGTCTCCCAGTTTCTAGCCTAGTGTCTTAACTACTACATCAAAGTAGCTCTATACAGTTTATTTTTAAAAAATAACCAACATTATTTTTATTACTAGCTTTTGGATGGCTAAGAGTATTACTTTCCTTAAATGCAGCATGGAATTTTAGCAATAGCAGTAGCACTTAAACTTATATATATCACTTCACAGTGATTTATAGCCCTCTCTAAGTGATTTACAGTGTCAGCATATTGTACACAACAATCAGGGTCCTCATTTTACTGATCTTGGAAGGATGGAAGGCTGAGTCAGTCTTGAACTGGTGAGACCCGAACTGCTGGCAACCAACAGTCAGCAGTAGCCTGCAGTACTGCATTCTAACCACTGTGCCACCATGGCTTTTACCAAGCTTAACAAAAATATCATTTTTTTCTTTTAGTTCTTTCCAATTTGTCTTTCTTTTCCCCTTCCCACCTCCATGCTTATAGTAGCTATTGCAGCTGCATCACCACATTATAAATTTAGGCCATTTATTCTTGTATACATCTTTCCCCATTTTAGTGAAAGTGATCTTGAGGAGGTACTGACTTTTTACACACATAAGAATAAATCAGCAAGTGTCTTCCTGGGAACAAATCCTGGAGCCACAAAGCATAATAATAGCCAATTGGAAAACAGGAACAAAGGCAGTGAGTATCCATTTCTGATACCTTCAATATAATTGTAAAGAAGCAAATGAGGAATATTCTTGTTTTTTCTTGATAAAAGTTACTTGGATTCACTCAGAGTTGGGTTCCTCCTATTGAAGTGGCTGGGGCACAGTCTAGTGGGATCATCTGGACTGAGTTTAAGCCTGTGATTCCCAAGGAAGTGGATAAAGTCTTCAAATCAATGAGTTTACCTACTTGTTTATTTGATCCTGGGCATTCCTGGGTTATTAAAGCTACCTAAGAAATGACCTTTATTTGGTTCATGCAATGCTATCACAGAAGAATGGAGTTGTCCCCCCTCTCTTTAAAAGAAGTTGTAGTGTGCCTCCTTCTGAAGAAGCCCATGCTGGATCTAACACTGCCGGATAGCTATAGTCTCTCACCTTCCCTTTTCAAAGAAGATAGTTGACATGGTGGTCAGACAGTAGCTGAAGAACATCTTGGAGGAAACAGATTATCTGGATCCATTTCAGTCAGGTTTCAGGCCAGGGTACAGTATAGAGGCAGAATTGGTGGCCCTTGCTAATGATATTTGGCAGAGCTGGGATGACGGTGATGCATGCATCCTTGTGCTCCTTGTTTTCCATTTACTTTTGATACACTCAGCCACAGTATCCTTCTGGGGTGGACTTGAAGGGTGGAAAGTACTGTTTTATTACGGTTCTCTCCTTCCTCCTTGGTCAGTTCCCATCAATGTTGACAAGAGGAGAGAGGTTGCATCCCTAGCCTCTTGCTTGTGGGATTCCTCAGGTTTTGAGACCCTTCACCTCTTCTTAACATTTATGGGAAGCTGGTGAGTGATATCATACCTCAGTATCATCTGTACATTGATGTTATTCAGTTGTATATATTGACCCTAGGACATCCAAGCAATGTCAATGACTTGATCCATTGTTTAGATGCTGCCTAGATTACAGGGAGGAACAGACGTGGGCTCAGTCTGAGTGGTTATTATCTGAATTTCTTGAATCTGTGAATATTTCATCTCTGGTCTTGGATGGGGATTATACATCCCCATTTAAGATTAGCGTACCCCCCTGAGGAATCACAGCCCTTGCTCGCTAGTGTGCCTGTTGCACTCTTTTCTTAATGTGGAAAAACTTTCACGTAGTCATGCCCTAATCACTTCACAGGTGGATTACTTGCAATGCACTCTACATTTAGCTGACCTTGAAGCCACAGCTGTTGCAAAATGTAGTAATAAGACAGTGATAGGCATGTTATGTGTGTATCATCCCTGCTTTGTTACCTCCACTGCTTGCTAAATTGATTTTGGTTGCCAATCAAAGTGCTTGTTATCATTGTGAAGCCTACATGGCATTGAGCTTAGTTATCTAAGGGATTATATCTGTCCATTTGGTGAGATTAAGCAGAGTGAGCATTTTCAATGTCTCTTTAATATTATCTATCAGGACTTAAGCAGTATATTTTCTTTGTTGTGGTACCTGCCCTTTGGAACAGCATCCCCTGAAAATTTGTATGCCACCCCTTCCCTATTTTCTGTTCTGTTTTGGAACTTGTTGAAAATGTGACTTTGTTCCCAAGCTTGGGGTTAGGTTGAATGCCAGGCTTTTATTTATCTTTTACGTTGGTGTCCATTTTGTCTGGTTGCTAAGATGCATATGCATTTTATTATTTGGTTTTCTTTGTGTGCACTGTAAGTTGCCTAGGGTCTTTTGGGCTTCAGGAGTCTCCAAATCAAACCAGCCAGCCAGCCAGTCAACCAATATGTTTCATAGTTTTGTTTCACTGATGGATATATGGAATGTAAAAATTTTTAGATACATAAGAATTTCAGTTTTAGGATAGATTTTTATTTGCAGATGCAATTAATTTCAGATCATCTGTATTAGAAAATGTCATACTGAAAATCATTATCATACATTGCTTATTTTTCTTTTAATTTTGAAAACTTTTCAGATCACTCAGAAAAGATGGGGAAAAATGAAAAAAAGCAATCCCAACTTCCAGTGGAGAAAGAAAATGTGGTAGAGCAGCCAAGAGTTGAGCAACCCAAAGGAACTAGTTTACCCAGTAAGAAAATTGGAAAAAGAGTACATTTGCATAGTTAGACTATGACAAAACTTTAATGGCTTTTTGTTGGCTTTCTCTGTCGTGGTGTCTTCCCTATGGAACAACCTCCACCCAGAGAAGGTGTGTCTCTTCCCATGATAAAGCTGTCCTGATATTTTTATAAGGGGGCCTTGACCCAGGTTGTTTTGTGTGTTGTATGTGTTTTCCTGTTCTTGATGTTTTATATGTTACGTTTACCATCCAGGGTTTTGCTGCATTTATGGCAGCTTTATAAATGTGATAGAAATCTGGTCAACGGTATTAAGTATCTAGGGGTGCAGATAACTAACAATCTAGTTTCTCCACACTGGTCTTTCCACACCCTTAGTGAAGTGTGCAGACTAACGTCTGCATTTCCTGTCTTGGATGAGGAGAGCACATCTTTCTCCTTCTGTCCTAGCGACTTTTTACAGAGGCATGATTGAGAGCATTTTAACAAGCTGCATCACTGTTTGGTTTGGTGACAGCAGTGCCTCAGAGAGAAAGTCCATTCAGAGAGTGGTAAGGACGGCCAAGAAGATTATAGGAAGTTTTCTTCCTGTTATTCAGGATACTGCTTATAAACACTTTGTGCTTAGAGCTCAAAGCATTATTAGAGACCCCACACACCTACTTGAAGGTCTGTTTCTCTTGCTCCCCTCTGGGAGGAGATTTCAAAGTATTTTTAGCAGGACTACCAGATTCTGTAACAGCTTTGTTTCCTATGATATATGTCTGGTAAACTCACAAGATTCATTTTTCTTACCATGTACATGTATACATCCATACTAGACTGTTGTTTCTCTGTGTCAAATAATATATGTGGTATATACATAATTCTGTATTTATTTAATCAGTCAGTCAGTCAATCATGTTTATGTAGTATATATTGGATGTGATAAACCTTTTGAGAGCTGTATGCAATGAAATTTCATTTTAATTTATGCCCATTAGTGTACATTCAAAGTGACAATAAATCTAAAAAAGATAGATTATATAAAATAAGACGAAACTAGACTAGATTACAGTCAGACAGACAGGAGTATTCAGATAAATTTAGACTCACACAGTGAGTCTGTCAGTCAAGATACTAACAATTATAATTTTTCCAAACATCTAATTTAGAGTTAATAATATGTTTCTTTGCTATATTTTATTGTATTGATACTGCTTAAATGAATGGGTCGAGGAGGTAGGCTCTAATATTTTTAATCTTTTCCACAATCCATTTTAAGTTAAACATTTTCATGAACATTGAATAGAAAAAAAAAACTTTGGGGGGAATTTTGAATGGGCTAAGCCAGTGATGGCTAACCTTTTCAGCACCTTGTGCATGTGCGCACAGGCACCCCCCCCCCAAATGCAATGCACACACATCCCCCACGCATTTGCTCCACCCCACGCATGTTTCCTACGCATGTGTGTGTGTCCCCTGCACATGTGCCCCACCCTGAGCATGCCCCTCCACTGCATGCATGCCTGGGCGTCCCCCATGCATGTGTGGCAGAGACCTGAAGGCCAGCTGGCTGGTGGGAGGTGCACGCACATGTGTGGTGGAACTTAGCTGGGGCGACAGCTCGCGTGCCTATAGGGAGGGCTCTGTGGCACCTCTGGCACACAAGCCATAGTTTGCCATCATGGGGCTAAGCAGTAGACTATACTGTTAGTATAAAACCAGTAGAAATGTTGTACAGTAGTTGAAAAGTATCAGACTGGTTCGTGTATGAGGCTGGCTTTATGAATACTATTTTAATTTACTATAAAGAACAAAGTAATTGATGCAGTACTGTTTGTAAATATTACATGCAAAAATCAAATAATTTGGAATAAGTATTTTGAGTATCTTAATATTAAATAGAAAACTGAGTATCCATGTAGAGAACATCATAGTAAAATAATAGAATTATCAATATAAATACAATATAAATGCATTGAGAAAGATTTTTATTGGCTATTAGAGCTCTTTTGTGAAATTGTTGAAAAGTCAGATGCTATATAAAAAAAAAAATCTAAAGCCTGTAAAAGTGCAATTGTAGAAGTTTTTATATGTCCAATTGAAAAATATGAATTGCCCTGATTGGCTTGATTTTTTCTTCTCTCTCTACTAGGTGTCCCTTCTTCAATGGAAGATGGAGAGAATACACCACAGTTCAGCGTTCTTAGCACTTCTTCCTTTACTCATGGTACCACACTCCCACAAAGCATCAGTATGCCATTGTCCTCGCAACCTGCTGCCTGTGAGAATGTACAGTTGCCTGATTATCACTCGACCCCTTCCCTTTCGTCAGGTTCTAGAGCAACACTTCCCCCTTCTTCTCCAAACGCAGCACCTGACAACTTGTCTAATACAGGAAAAAACGTGTCCCGCCCATCCTCAAACAGTACAAGCTTACACCGCTGTCGGTCTGGCAGTTACACTGTCAGCCCCTTCTCTTCCTTTCAGACTGCCATGCAAATCTACAGCCAGAGACTGACCCGACCTTCCTCAGCAAAAGCAGGTAGGCTGATACTCAGCTGACACATTATTGTAATTTTTAAAAAAATATTGCAATATCCAAGACAATTTGAATTAATTGTGCAAGTTTTGAGTTGGATATTCGTATTTTCTTTATTTGATATTTATTTGAAAAAGAATAATATCTAATCTAATTCAGAGTTGTCCTCAAGAGTGTTGTTATCTTCTATAGCCGGGATGGTGAACTGTGGCCCTTTTATGACCTGTGGACTTCAAGTCTCAGAATTCTTCAGCCAGCATGGCTGCCTCAGGAATTCTGGGAGTTGAAGTTCACAAGTCATAAAGGGGTTGTGATTTCCCACCTCTGTTCTGGAGTATTAAGGCATGCGTGAAGTGATTATGTTGTTTCTTAGGCAACTTGCAGAAACAAAGAATAGGGTGATCATGCCTCTCTAATCTTACTGCTGTTTTCTCATGACACAATTTGGCGACAAGTCTCCAGTGGACTGAGTAGTGGTTATTTAAATTCCCCTGTATGAAACTGTATAGGACAAGGTATCAGGCAGCAACTAATAAAGTGGACTGACATCCGAAAAGATTAATGCTTTTTCCCTTGGAATATTAATTGTTTGTGAATGTTATTGCAGTGACTGGACAATAGGAGTAGAATATCACACACACCAGTATTTTCTTCAGTGGCAGTACAGAAGAGAGGGGATTCTGAACTTCTTTATAATGGGGCTTTCAGTGGTTTTCTCCCATGGATCCTAGTGCTTGTGAATTCAAAGAAACATAGGAAGAAACCAAATCAAAGTATTCATCTAAATATTGTTTACATGTTCACATGGAGAAACTCTCCAAGTTTCCAATCTCAGTCTTTAGCATTTTTACCCAGAGATGTCAAGGATAGAATGCGTCTCTTTTGCAACGCTTTGCTCTGCCATCAGATTATACCTTTTACACTTTGAATTAGTTTTTCTTCACCAGTTAGGTTTTGCCAGATTTCCATGTTATTGATGTACAAATCTCTATCTGTAAACAATACTGGAACACTTCTTTGAACTATTATTTTAACTATTGGATACTATTACCATTTTCCCCAAGAAATAACTCCTGTTCCGATGGAGTAGGAAATCCATGGCCCTTTAGGTATTGTTGGATTACAGTTCAAATCATCACCAATTATTACTCTTATTGAGTTTGAGCTGCTAGGAATGGAAGTCCAACATTTAAAGGGACAGGTGTTCACCTCCCTACTTAGCCTTTTTTCCTGTCAGGAAAGGATATGGAAAGACCAGCAAACAGCCCAGTGATATCAAATATTGAAATGAATGTCAATTTGGTTTAAATAAGAATGAGCTCTCAAAGGCTTGCACTGCTGACATAGGTGTCGGGTTTCAGCAATCAATTAATTCACATGGCAGTGACTGATTTCAGTAGCAATACAGTGGTACCTTGGTACTCATCATTAATTGATTCCTGGAGGCATGATGATTACCAAACAAATTTTTCCTATAAGAAATAATGTAGTAAGTCCAAGGCAGCCAAATGATGAGGGCGGGGACAACATTTTCATGTCAAAATCCATTAAGTACCAAATTCAAAGCAGTTGAATGCCAAGATATCACTGTAATTGCTTATAGCATTGAACTATGCAGTTACCAGACCATCTGTTTTTCAATATTTGACATCAGATTTATATTTCTCTGCAGTATTTTTAGTTGTGTAGCATATAAACTTTTTAGATTATTTTCAGAAGTTCAGCTACTGTAGTACTTTTTATTTTTACATTTTTGAAAATACTCTTTTGGTTCAATGCTACTTTAAATTTATTTTTCTTTAGATTTCAGATGCTTTTTATGCCAAAACCCAAATGGCATAAATTAAAGAAAAATATACAGAATTGAAAAAGAAAAAAAAATAAATGGCACATATAAACACTATGGAAAGAAAAAAAAAAGGGGGGGGGAACCCTGAGAATGTCCATCTTTAGGTGATTTTATGTGGTTCAAAAATAAATATTTTAAATATATATTTTATTTTATTGGGAAAATACTAAAAAAATATCACCAACAAACATCTAAGATTTCTGTTCAGAATGACGTGAGTTCAAGGAAGTAAAAACATTGTTAATATATACAATAAATTATAACCAGATGTGAGTTGTAGAGTATTTTTTCATTGTAGAGTATTTCAAAATTTTAATGTGTCACATGTTGTATTATAGTTTTCCTAATAATCCTCATGAAGTTTTTAAGACTTTGAAAAGAACTGTCCTATTCACATAAGAATAGCTTTCCAAGTAATGCATTTTGTTTCATTTTTCTTTTGTGTTATGCTAATTTATTGGGGCGATGCCAACCACATGAAGGGCTGCTTCATACTCTTCTGGACCTATAACTCCAATTCTCTCAAAGGCTCTTGGCTATTTCAAGGACTTCCACAATGACAGAACATGGCTATGCCCCCCTCCCCCCCACATTACTTTCGCTGGGATTGCAGGGAAAGGCGCATGTGTACAGTCTCAGTTCTGATTCTAGTGGGGCTTTGGTTGTGCTTTAAAACAACATGGGGCCTTGGTACTCTGAGCAGCAGGTTTGGAGAGGCTCCTTAAGATATCCCTCCAAATAGTTGACATAGCACTAATAAATATCTAACCAGAGGTTTCTTTGGAATAAAACTTCTTTGGTGCCTTATTTTTTTCCTTATCTCATGCTGACTTTCTGAATTGCCCTTTCTTCAATAAATTAATTTCCCTATCATGCTTCTCTATCATTACTTTGTAAAGAAATGGTTTGTGTTCTTTGTAAAACTTTGGAAAGAAAGCAAAAACTGTGAGATAATTTACCTATAGATATATGCATATTGTAATTGAGAATCATGTATTACTTATCTTTCATATAAAACACTTGGTTTTGATTTTGTCATTAATATTTATGTCCCTTGTCAATTCTTGCACTGAGGGCATATTTCTTATAGCTAGGGGAAAAAATCATGGCAAAATAAAAGTTTTCACTCATTTTAGCAGGATCAAGAAGTCACAGCCCAAGCAGACAGCGTGGTGTATCTGCCAGAATGAACAAGGATGCAGAAGACAATAAGCGTTGTAGTCATGATATTGCAGCAGAACTTCAGAGGTTGGCAGAGAAGCAGGCAGCTAGACAGTACTCCCCACCCAGTCACATCAGCCTTCTTACACAACAGGTATCTAAAAAAACATATTTTCCATTTTGAATAGAATAGTCTTTGATGGTAGTATTATTTCACAAAAGAGAAAAACAAACAGTGATTAAGCTTTATTTGACAAGTAAGAATTAATCTGAATGGATCTTCTTGAACTGTGCTTGATCACAGGAACCGCAATCATTTTTTCTAGTGTACTGTACATATTAATAATGCTAAGTCACTGTGGTTATAGTAAGCATAGAATAAGTGGAGGGCACCCTGATGAAGTTACTGCAAGCTAGTTTGTATGTGCTGGAGCTTTATAAAGGGAAATCTCTGCTGCATCACAATTTATCTCTTCTTAATTTTATATCACTTTCCTACTGCCCATCTTTAAAAATAAGTAATATTAAATAGGAACAGGCAGTACATCAGTGTTGATACTTTTGTTAATTTTATTTGATTTGTCAATTGCTTACAAGATAATAGGTATAAGTATAAACATAGCTATAAATGCATGGATACATATAATAACAATAAAAAAAAAAGAAACAATAGGACAGGGACGGTAGGCATGTTGGTGCGCTTATGCACGCCCCCTACAGACCTCTTAGGAAAGGGGTGAGGTCAATAGTAGACAGTCTAAGGTTAAAGTTTTTGGGGTTGGGGGAAGAAACCACAGAGTCAGGTAGAGTATTCCAGACATTGACCACTCTGTTGCTGAAGTCGTATTTCCTACCTCTTCTCCTCTTTGAGATCCAAGAAACACAGGACAATTTTAGGAATGCCCCACTAAATCATGGGGAGTTGTACGTATTATTATTTAATATTGTGACAATTCAAAATGTATTATCTGTGCCAGGGTGTCAAACTCAATTTCACATCAAGGTTGTGTTTGACCTTGGGGGGGATGGTGTGGGTGTGGCCAGGGTGGGCACGGCCAGCTTGAGGTCATTTGTGTTAGAAGCGCCTGTGGGCGCGAGCGCTCTGCCAGCAAAAACAGGCTCCTGAGCTCTTTTCAGCTGCGACGGCCTCCTGCAGCCCTCTGCCAGCGAAAACAGAGCTGGGGGGGGGGGGGGCGCATGTGGCCTCCCTGAGCTCTATTTTCACTGGCAGAGGCACTGAGGACTGTTCCTTCTATGTTTCCAGGGTGGCCTCGCGGGTCAGATCTAAGCATCGTATCTGGCCCCATGGATCTTGAGTTTGTCACCCCTGCTCTGTGCCCTCAAAATGCTCAATGTTTTGGAGCAGATCTATTGTTACATGCGGTTTCTATTAATGACAAACTAACTGGTTCTTATTTTGCACATTGAGCATTGTCCATGCCAATTAAAAGGGGCCTTCTACTTATCAGTTTCATATGCAACCTCTTTTAATTTATGAAAGGACAACTCGGAATCTTCCAGAATTGCTAAAAGCAATTCCAGCCATTAGAAATAAAATCAAATATATACAGAAAAGTTGGGTTGACAATCTATAGTGATTATCACCATTTTTTGTCTAGGCTCAGAAACTAAGCAGAATTGAACGGGAGACCACCAGGAAATTTTGTGCTGTGGGAAATTGAAAAATAAATCTTGAAAAATGATAATGGCAAACCTCTTCCATACTATTGCTGAGAACTTTTTTCCCTATGTGATATACTGTGAGTGGTATTGGTTCTGTGTGAGGTCTTTATTGGTGCCTGCTGAACGCTTTTGGCAGAACAGAAGCAGTGGTTGTTACAAACATTTCTTAGGCTTCAGTGCTTTGTAGTTATTGATGGTAAATAAAATAATGTGTTGACTTGCCCTGCTTGATAAAAAGAAGAGTTATTTCTTTTCTGTATTTCTCTGTGAACAAATGTACAAATTCATGGATTGATTTTCACTAGCAACAGCTCCAGCTTTTCCAGCTACAGAGTTTGATCTTAAGGATAACATCAGACCACCCAGGCAAGGGCTGGAACAAGATATATCTGTCTCTTCTGTTGAGTCAGCCAGTGTTCAAAGCTTGCAGCAACTTTCCTGCAAATGTAATGATATATCATTGTAAGAAAGGGGGTAGGGCATATTACTTCATATTTTCATTGGAAGAGTAGTCCTTTGCAAAAGCCTGGCATTCCTCATAAAACTTTCTGAAGAATACGGAATACAAATATTTAATACAGTTTTTTTCTGTTTTTTTTAAACACTACGACCACTCTGCTTGGCACCAGCCACCTCAGGAACTAGTTAGTACCTGCTTCATCAGGAGGATAAAATTGTAGGTGATTGCTAGCCATGATGGTGATGTATTGCCTCCAGTGTAAGAGACAGTAAATCTTTTTATATCAAATACTAAGAAATATGAACAAGTTCTGCTTTTTAGGATATCTCAAATTGTTTTTTTTTGCAGTGCTTTGGTAGAAAAATATGGAGAGGAGATTCCAGGCTGTGTATTTCACATCTGAATTCCCTCTCCTCCCCTTCCTCTCGCCCTGCCCTTTTTTTCCTCTTTCACAGTCTTCTCATGAAAAACATATATAATTAGCTATTCTTTTAAAGAATAGAGATTTATCACTTCATCTGTAATATACTCAATGTTAGGAAGTTTTTTCCCAATCTATTTTTAAGTCTCTCCCTCCTGGATCTTCCATTCAACTGCAAGCTGAAACAGGAGATGTGTTTTAATTCTTCTTAGCCATTGGCCCTTCTTTTTTTCACCCATCTTCTGCTTCACCTTTCATTTTGTTTGTCATTTTTTCTTCGGTAGATACAATGTGAGATTCATTTGAAAGCTGATGTACATCAATATTATAGAAGAAAACAATATAGAAAAACAAAAAAGAATGCCTGAAACAGCACCATTCCTTTTATATAGCTGGATTTAGCCTTGAAGGAGCTGCTAGCTGAGTCAAGTTGAGTTTCAAGGAACTGTTTTGCGAGAAGGGTAACTCTCTGATCATCAAACGTTTGGCACATCTAAGCCTTACTGAAATAACTCCCAGTGAAGCTTTAGCTTTAAAACTCTTAGGAGTATTTAATTCCAAGTCTGATTTCTTCCAGTAATGGAAAGCAAATAATCCACTACAATACAGACTCTTTTTTTTAAAAAAAAGATGCATGTGCTGGAAACACTACAAACAAATCTGCAAAATTTGTCAGGTTTCCCAGGAATGTCTGTGGCAGGTTTTATCTGGAATATTTTCTGGAGACTGAAACTCTTATGCTCTTTATGTGCATACCGTGTGAACTGGTAAACTCAGCAAGCAGGGTAGGAATGTCATGGGCCTTGCGCCAAATCAATTTTGATGTACATGGAGACTTCACACCTCTCAAACCCCTTAATCTAAATTTTTTCTTCTTGTCTTATATCTATAAATGCAGGCATACCGATAAACTTGCCTGAGGGTAATTTATCTATGGGGTGTGGTTGAAATAGACCTCAGTTAACTGCAGAACAAGGCTCCCTTCCTTCCTAGAGATGTCCTGTTTATTGTAGATAACTACGAATGGTAAGACAAAAAGTACTATCAATGTGGGCTCTATTCTTCTCCCTCCCTATAATTGGAGGGACACAGAAACACACACTTCCAGGGGACAGAAATGAGGGCATTTAATCTTAACCCAGTTTTGAACTAGGAAGGTTATTTTGAGAGGAGTGAAGCACAGGTTCAAAGTTGTCTTTGATAGCAGAGGTAAGGTAAAAGAAATGGAAATTGATAGTCTGCTTATTCTGATGGTACCGTGCTCTTCTGTAAACAGTAGTAACTACTCTAATAAATACTACATGATTACTATATACTTTATTGATGCCTAAACCCCAGCCTAGTTATGTTTAGAAAAATATTTTGTGTAACTGAGCTCACTCAGTCATGATAATTGAAAAATGAAATAAAATTATAACATGCAACATTTAGTGTTATTGGATAACAATATGTGAGAAGACTTATGAGACTTGAAACCAGTGAAGAGCTATGATGTGCAAAAAAAGAATAAGTAATAAAATGAGCATAAATAAAATCCTCAGTTAATGGGACTAAGCAACTGTTCAGAGTTAAAATGTCACTCAATAAGTGGTACTTAATGATGGTTCTTGAAGTTCTGGCCACCCTAATGCCCCTGCAATCATATGATCATGATTTAGGTGTCTGGAAACCCACTCATGCTTATCTGCAGCATCCTGTGGTCATGGGATCACCATTTGTGATATTTCCCTGCCAGTTTCCCACAAGCAAAATCAGTAGGTAGGGTAGATTGCAGGTCAGTCCTGTTTCCACTGCTTTTTTTCCCCTCAAGGAGCCCAGCTCTTAGGCAACTGCTTGGCTATTCTCATGCGGCATTGTAGCAGCCTCCTGAGAAGCTTCCCATGCCCAGCAATAGCTACTCCCCACCCGGCTATGTCCATGCTGCTTACCCATGTGCTGGCCTGCTTGTAAGCCACCCAGGATTGTGACATCCTGCCATTGACTTCCTGCTTGCTGGAAACCAGCAGGAAGTTGCAAGAAGATTCTTGTCTAACAGCCTGTGATTCTCACTTAACAATGGCAATGGGGACTGCTGGGATTTCTGTCACTAAGTAATACAATCACTTCATTTAGCAATGGAAATTCCAGTCCTAATTACTGGAGAGTTGTTAGATATGAGACGGGCAGCAAATAAATTTCATAATAAATAAATAAATGCTGTCATTAACTGAAGACTACCTGTAGGTTCTTGGTCTATATCGGTTGGGAACACTTAAAAAAAAACATTTTGGAAGTCCAACATTGAACTCTTATACAAAAGGAAATGAATGAACGCAAAAATTATAAACCCTTCCAATATGACACCATTGCTTTCAGTGTGTTGAAGAACAAACAGCTTATTGTCTTGCAATCCCTTCCTCTCCCATCTCTTCATTTTGTGAGGGGAGATAAAGGTCAGACAAAAGAGAGATTGCCTGTAGAAATCGCTTGGGTTTTTCCCCCACACTTCCCAAAGTAGAGAGATCAGAGGAAAGGTCTGCAAGAGAGTAGATGTTTGTGTGACATATCTTCAGCTCTCAGTCCTGAGTGCCAGCATGATTACATTACTTTTGGTAAGGAGAAGAGCAAACACCTTGTTCTCTTCCAATTCCTTCCTCTCCAATCGCTTTGCTCTAAAAAAGGGGTGGGGGGAGGGGGGGGAACCACAGGACAATGTGTATTGATGGTAATCGCGTGATTGAGGGATACTGCAAAGGTCATAAATTGGCCATAAAGTTATTTTTTTTCAGCCCTGTTGTAACTTACAACAGTTAGTGAACAAGTGATAAGGAAAAACTATCTGTACTGAGGTCACAGGGTTGTTGTTTTACACTGGTCTAATGAAGTATGTGAGTGTTCTTGAACTCCTGGAAGAAAGCCTGGACAGAGAACTAACAAACATGAATAAATATTTAAACCTATCTATTTTCCCCAAGCAAAAAGTTGTTTTTGCCTTGCTTTTGTACTCTTCCTTTACATTTAAAATCAGGGAAAGCTATGTTAAATATGATATTGGTAAGGTAATATATATAATATATATAAGGTAATTATATACCTTATATTTATATTATATAAACATGCTGTTTATATTATGTGTAAATATGCTCATTATATACCTTAAGGCACATCAAATGGTGAGGATGGAAAGTCATAGTCAGCAAAGTAGAGTTCTGCTGTAGAGATGTAAATTATTCTACTGATTCCCCAAGGAATCTACTGAGCTGGCAGGTTAATTATAGAAGCAGAAACAAATCAAGGAGTGGGAGAATAACTATCAACACTGAAGAAACACGATGGGCTGGCTTAAATAAGCCAGTATGCTCTGATGCCTGCTTTTGATTCCAGTGACTGTATTTAAGTCTGCTGTAAGTTAAACACCTGTCTGTGGAATGTGTGAAACATCCTTACCCACCATAGGTTCAACTGTTTACACACCTGCTCCAGTGTGAAAGACAGCTTTAAGACAAACAGAATTTTAACAAAGGAAAGTAATGTACAAAGAGGTTCCACAATGATTGGACGTTTGAAGAAAACAGCTGTGTCCTAAGCCAATAACATATTTCTTATAGAGAAGGAAAGGAAGCTGATGAAGTTGACATTAGAAGTATGGAATAAGAAGCTTGAGTCTTCGCAAATAAAGCAATGGAAGGTTAATAATATGAGAGGAATTTCTTTTTAATTAAAAATAAAGTAAATACTATATATATGTGTGTGTGTGTGTTTCCTTAAGTTTTTGCGGGTATTTTGTTCATCTGTGAGTTTACAACTGTAAAAGTCTGACTCACAGATGAACACAATACACAATACAGAAGCCTGATGATAGCAGATGAGATTCTGCTGAAACGTTGCTACAACTTTAAAGCACAACTATAATGACGTGGGAAAATACCCGAACAAAGCTGAGTACCATATATATATGTGTATATGTATATGTATATGTGTGTGTGTATACACACACAGACAGACAGACAGACAGACAGACAGACAGACAGATAGATAGATAGATGTATATTGAATGCCTGTGTTTCAAGAGAGTTGGTTGCAGTTGCAATTCAGGAATTGGAACGTAACTCATATGGTCTCCGTTTTGGACTGAAATCAGCAGGATGGTTAATGTATTCTTGGGTGTGTCTCCAGTATACTGAATTTATGAAGATAATCAAGAACTGAGGAATTTAGGGTATGAGGACTGGATAAAAGATTTATTATACAACATTGGAAGGAAAAATGTCTATGTGATCAGTAGCAACAGATAGTTGATATGTATTAACTAGCTGCCCAGAGTTACCCTGATATAAGATGGGCAGCCAATGAATTCAATAAATAAATAAATAAATAACCTTCTGAACCTGGGATGGTGAAATCAGAAAAATTGACTAAAGGGCAAGAAAAGACTTGGAACAATGATGCCAGAAATGAATGCTGATTAAACTAATAATATGTTTTATAGATTATTATGATTATTAATTTTGATTGTCTGATAGGCCATGTTTGTGTGTACATGTACATTTTTCTGCTAATTAATGAAAATACTGAAAATACTCGTGCCAGCCCATATATGCTGCTTCTGTTTGAGAGTATATGTTGCTAATGATGCATCTGGCTTAGCCAGATTTGGTGTCACTTGTAAATACAGGAGTCTGCCTTTTTGTGAGTCCATGAGATTCCAGAAAATAACCTTAGTTTGTCGATGACTTTTATTTGCTTGCTTCTTCTGAGATGTTGAAATTATAGTCTTATATTCACACAGCATACTATGATTGCTAACCTTGATATGGCTCACATACGTTTAGACACACTTTTGTGCTGATGTGGAATCAGCAACATCTCTGCTCCATAAACTGGCTCTGTTTCTTTAACGATATATTAACTATGTATCCTTCAGTGAAAATTCATGACAAGATACTTTTGTTGTCTTGTTGGATCTTTTAAAATGCCTGTCATTTGCTTATTTTCCTCTTCAGCTGACAAATTTAAACATGATAAATGGAGCCGTTAATAAAGTAAATACGACTGCTTCCAGTTATCGGCCACCACTCAATCCGGGAGGTTCATTTTGGGCTTTTCAAACACACAGCAGCACTCCTGATACCAGGCCTGCATCTTTAACACTGAGGTAAGAGAAATAATTAGACCGAAAATATGTATGTTTTAGAGTCATATCCATATGTCCTATTAGCATTTTGCTCGTATAATGTTGTACAAGACTGTGATCATTTGCTGACTGCTAATGTTTTGAAGAAGCTAGAAACATAAGTACTGAAACATTTGCACACATATATATTGACTCACATGGCACCACCAAGAAGTAGTTTTACCAATAAATAGCCATGAAAACCTACAGCTTCTGAATATTACTTTTTTTACAATACTATGACTGAATTAGATTAATTGATGTATGGAGGCAGTCTTTAATTCTGTACTGGATATGAGAGTTATCTATTTGTTGTTTTGCTGATATTATATAAAAATAATATATTTTGCTCATTATATAAATAACAAAAAAAGCAAAGTTGGTATTAATGTATTTTCCTCAAGATGTAAAATCTAGTCACTCAAAAGTCACTCGAAACAATCAAACAAGAATCTTGCCTTTTCTCATTGCCATCAGTTAGGTATCTTGTTCAAAGAGCAGCCGATATGGCTAGGCATACTTGTCTAAGGTTGATTTATCTGTCTACAAATGACACTTTTTTCGTGTAGTTTTTATGAACCTAAGCAGTTGTGTAAATGTTTCCCCTCCTTTAATATGGAATACTGTCGTGGAAATTAATCAGTATAAGAGAGCTAATTTTGGTGAGTGGTAGATACAGATTTTAAATTTCGGTAGCAACAAATTTGAAATCAATCTCCAAGGAGATTGATATGTCTCTTTTATGTCTCTCTTCCTTTCCTCCACCCCAAGCAGAAATTTTAAAACATGAACATGTAAAAGGAAGAGATTTCTGAAAAACTTGATCCTGATGCCTTTAAAAATTTAAAGGCTGAAATTGGTTGTCTTGACTTAGACCCTGAAATGTATTTGCAGCCCACGCAGCAAAGAGATATAATGTGGTCAATCTAATATCATACTACAATTTAGCATATTATTCCTGATGTTCTAAAGTTCTAAATTGTCTTTGAGATCATTGCCTTGTAAGTATAACTAGAGTGAGTATGGTTCCTTCAAGTAAAATTACAGTTGCTCAACCAGGCACAGTTTATAAAAACTCTCATGACCGCTAAATAGCACTTGAATTTAGAAACAGCAACAGAAGTGCTTCCAAACTCATTTTCTATTTCTTCAGAGGAAGTATCCATCCAAAAGTCACTTGGATTTGGTTCAATTTGCTAATCCTCATTCATATAAAAATAATGTTTTGGCTATTCTGACAACATGTCATAGAGAAGCTTATCTATTTAAAGCTCTTTTAACTGGGGGTGTTAGGGAGTGGATCTGAGGCCTTACTGCATGCCAGACACTACCACTAAATTATAGCTTTTATTTTAACATCTGCCATAGGCTTCTTCTGGGATGATTTTCAACTTTCCAATTTAATTTAAAGCCCTGATGTTCACTGATATCCTTTCGAACAAATTGTGACCAACTTCTGAGCAACCCTTAGCTTCTGAACCCAGACAAGGTCAGAGCAAAGGTCTGGTCAAGAGATTAATAGAGGTAGTCATCCATTAGTGACTGCCTCATCTAGCAATGATTTGCAGTTATGATGTTAATGAAAAAGTAACTTTTTGATCATACCTTGCATTTATAAACTTTGCAGGTCTCTACAGCAAAGGAAAGTGAAGTAAGACTATAAACATAGTGGTGATTTCAGTACCAACTGCTTTGCTTAACAAGTTTCCGGTAGTCTCTATATTCATACTTCTATATAAAAAACACTGAAGTTACAAGAGAAGGAATTAGCAAGATTAGCTAAATGAAAAATTAGCAAATTACTAGCAGCTCTAGTTATGGCTGAATATTTCTAACATTCAGTTCAACTTGCTGTTGACATTCATTTCAGATCAAAGTGTTAGGGTCCATTCTTTCCCTCTTAAACTTCCTTTGTAAATCTGCAGTGCATTGACCACTATTGTATATCTGTCCATTGTTCATTAACTGTCTTTATTTTTATGGGAATAATTTTGAAGCAATCTCTACTCCCCTCCCTCACACCCAACCCTTAGATAGGGATCAAATCTCTATGATTCTTCTTGTTTTGGAATTTCTTTCAGGACAATTAATTGTTTGTTGGGAAGGGGCACTGAAAAATATTTTTGAATTATCAGCCTGATAATTCATGAGCTGTGCATTCTCTTTAAGATCAGGTTTATCTTGAGATCCAGATCTGTTTTGATTATCTAATCAAGTATATCACTGAATTCTGAAATTACCTTATTGAATCCTGTTTCCTTCTCGTTTAGCAACTACAATTGAAACTGGCAACTTGGTCATTTCTAAGTGATCACTAAGAAAAACGATGATGTGCTTATAATCTTATGCAGCTTTCCTTTGCTTTACAGCTCCACAAAGGTTGTAAATGCAAAGTTTAATCGTAAAGTTACTTTTACGTCACTATTATAACTGCAAATGGTTGCTGGATGAGGCAGCTGCTAAATGAAGACTACCTGTAATGATTTAGGTGCCCTAGTGTTTTGCATGTCTGTGACAAGTATTACCATCTATCTCATGAACAATCCCAGAAAAAATATATATCTGGAAATAGTTGTCTAGAGGCAAAAAAGGCAAAATGTTCCATATGTGTTTTTTGTTTTCTCTTGGGCGTTTTGGCTAATCTGCGGAGACTGAAATAAAAAGCAGGATAAAATAAGAAGAATTGGAAGAGTGTGCAATAGGGGCAAATCTACAGTGGACTAATTGTAACAATGTTATAATGATAACAGGATGGTTAATTATATCAGATTTGCTCTTAGATAGCTTGGTATTATCCTGATTGTAAATTATAACCTAAAGTTTGTGTTTCCATGAATTTCTAATGCAAAAGAAGTGTTCCTGTGAGATATCAACCTAACAATTAGAGGCTTTAAAACATATTGCCTGAATAATTGAGTGATCTTAGAAATCTGATTAAATTTGAATTAATTTTCTAGGCTTTGACTTTATAAATTTATTAAGTGTACTACTGTTGTGTTTTCTGTGTACCTGAGTAAAAGGTTGGGAAGCACAATATGGGTGTAGAGCAATAAAGGTCTTCAGTTGGGTCAGAGAGCAAACTGAAATGTGCTCTGTCACCTATGATACAGTTGTATAAATACAGATAGTTCTTACGTAGCAACCACAACTGGGACTATCAACTCGGTGATTTAAGTGAAGCAGTCATTAAGTAGAAAATCAAGTGACTGCAATTGTGCTTATGATTTTACTTGCTTCACAGCAGGATTGTCAAACTCACGGCTCGCAAGCCAGTTACGTCACGTGCTGGCCCCGCCCCTGCTCAGTTTAGTGAAGGGGAAAAAAGTCCTGATACGTCACGTGACACTGCTGTGATGACGCGAGTTTGACACCCCTGACTTACAATATCAGAACAATATGATCCCAAACAGTCAGGTGAGCCAAAATGGAGGGGAAAGGTTCATTAATTTTTCATAATTATTTTAATTTGTGTTTAGCCTGTTGCTTTTATTGTACATGCCTAGAATCAGTTTGGAGTCATGCAGTACCTACATTGAATAAATTAAAATTAAAATTGTTAGTTTGTTCTATAATATCAGTGTTGCAGTCACTGTTGTATCAGAACTTATCTGCGTTTGCAAGGAAGGTAAAGGTTTTCAAGAATTTATCCACTTTTGGTTGTTTTCTTTGGGTGTTTTGCAGATACCTAAATCTTCAAAAATGGTTTTATTGATCACTAGCTCCAAAATCATGAAAAGAAATGGGATGAAAAGAGAATTCATAATTCCTTGACTCTTTTAGACTGGCAGTTGCTTCATTTAATTAAAAATTTTCCCTTGTATCTAATAGTTCAGCTATTGTTGCTTAGAATTTTCTTTTTAAGACCTTGTTGGCTCTGAAGGTCTTAGAACAGATGACATTGGTGTGAAGGGATGCAGAAAAGAGGAAAGGAGGCAAATACTTGCAAAAAGTCACATTATAAACATTTGCTCTGCCAACTTCTAAATTAAGTCAGAAATCATGAAACATTATTGCTTTTTTAAATGGTGAAGTTTCTGAATACAAGTGTCTTCATTATATCTGTAGGCATATAATCTACCCTAGGTTCCAATTGCCACTTTGGATGACATCAATACTCTTAAGAAACTATGAAGCCTACTAATATGTGTTTGTGGAGACTAGTTCATTCTGTTAATATTCCTTATACATATTCATTACTCTGCAGTGTAAAAATATTTTGAATAAGCACTAGACTCTATACTATGCCAAGGAATGTCTGGCTGATCACTCAATCTTGTTATATTTTTAAAAAACATAGTCAGCAGTCAAATCAAGGCATTTCTAATTTGATGCCTTAATCCTTTTCACCAAAGCAGTTTACCTACTCTAAATAACTTCCATTTCCAAAAGTTTTTCTCCATACATGCATGGTTTTGATCATAGAGCAAATACCAGTTTTTGTGTGTGCATGTATGCATGTGTGTGTTTCAGGAAAGAGATAAGAATAAAATAATAAATGCCTTTACTTCTTTATTCTTGCTTGACCCAATCAGTATCAGCCCTCACTTTCCCATCCTTGCATATGTATTTATGCATGTATTTTGAAGGACAAAACTCAAGACAGTCTTGAAATTTTGTAATGGATATGAAAAAATGGACTTAAGTTAGCCATTAAATCTTTAGCAGACTTAAAGTTCTAGAAATTTATTCTTGATTATGCTATATAATTATAGCATAATTGATTATACTATCTAATTATGCTGTACAGAAAATTTGAGAAAACTAATTGCTTAGTGCTCATTGTTCTGATGTCCAAAATGGTTGGCTTCCAGAGATGAATAATAAAATGATTGGTCAGAAACTTTGGCTGTTTATTCAAGTGATTTGGAAAGGAGTGCCTCAGACAATTTGGCTGGAATTTATAGTTTTATGTTTTCCAGCCCAACCCTTCCTTCTGAGTTGAACTGTCAGGGCATGGTTCAGATGCTTGACTTTTTCCTGTA